CCACCGACCTACTCACTAGAGGAGCTGCTCGACGAATGTACACCACGCCGTGAGCAGCTGGAACCAAACCCGACATACGCCGCCATCGCCCGGTCAGAATGAACCGTCTAGGAAGGACACGTGGTTCTTGGACAGCTGCTGCGGACAACACATGTGCTCCTCAGATCACTTCGTTCAACGGGAGCAACGCCTCAATTGGGAAGTCAAATTACGGTCGCCAACAACCAGAACCTGCGCACACGACGACAAGGAGTGGTTCAGTTACAGTCACTCGAAACTAACGTCGTCTTGCAAATGTCCAAAGTTCTGATTGCAGAAGGACTCGGCTACAACTTACTCAGTGTCAGCCAACTCATGGCCAAAAGAATCCACCTCGAAGCCGACAGCACCACCCGGGAGTTCAGGTTGTATCACGAGAAAGGCGGGCTCTACATCGGAAAAGCAGTATTGAAGAACAACGTCTTCGTCCTCGACTTCGTCCCAGACCTAGGCACCGCCGACAGCGACGGGATCGTAAGCTTCACCACTTGGACGCATCCGCCAGTTCTTGACCCCGACTTCAGTCCCGGAGGCTTCTGGTACTCACACACCATACCTGAGGCAAAAAGGACGAGAGCGTTAGCCGTGATACAACAGACAGTAGCAGGAACAACATTGGCAGCAGCAGAGGCAACAACAGCAGCAGGAACAACTTCTGCAACAGCAGAGGCAACAACAGCAGCAGGAACAACATCGGCATCGGCAGAGACAACAGCAGCACCAGCACCAGCACCAACACCAACTTCAAACCTCCATGTCGCAAGCTCTTCATCAGCACCACCTCCCTTCGACGAGCCCACACCAACTCCAGCCCGACAGCTGACTCCCGTCCCATGCGCTGTCCACCAAAGTGCCAACGTCATCGCCAACTTCTACTCCAACTCCGATCTGTACAGACGATCACCTGGACATCGCGCCAACAAATCACTGTGGCACGAGAGATTAGGTCACCCCATCAACACGACGCTGAACAACACAGTAAGAGCAGGAGTTCTTGACAAAGACTCGCTACTCCTACCCGACAGCAGAGAACTACAACGAGTTTGAGGAACTTGCTTTACCTGCCCTGAAGCCAACTTACCGCATCAGCCGTTTGTTTCTCACCACAACCCGAGTGCGCCAGCATGCGCACCACTGGAGAAAGTCTACAGCGACATCCTGTACGCCCACGACAGTGGACAAGGAGATTACAACTATGTAATCACCTTCATCGACACTGCAACAAGATATGTCTGGCACCTCAACCTGCTAAGCTGCGACATGGCGTTCGAAGCTTTTGTCGCGTGGCTCCCAGTAGCAGAAAAAGAGCCTCGCGAGAAATTGAGAAGTTTCCAGTCAGATGGGGGAGGAGAATACCAGTCACAAAGGTTCAAGCAGTACCTGGCAGAGAGAGGCATCAAGCGACTCATCTCCCTTCCCTACGCCCATCAACAGCAAGGCGTAGCAGAAAGGATGAACAGGACCCTCCAGAACACCATGCGCAAGCTGCTACGTGGCATGCGACTGTCCGAAAGCCAGTGGCCTGCAGCAATGGATCATGCTGTCATGCTGCACAACTTGCTTTCGTCGTCGTCACTCCCGAACAACGCATCACCGCACCTGCTGTGGACAGGGAAGTTGGGCAACACAAAAATGTTACGAGTGTTCGGCTGCATGGTACAGTACCGACCGCACACTGCACGAGCCGGACGATTTTCACAACGCGCACAGTGGGGGCTACACCTGGGCATCGAAAAACATTACAACGCGTGGAAGATTTTTTACGTCCACTCGAAGGAAACAGTAGCAGCACGTGACGTTATCTTCTACGAGCGACTCACCCTTCAGACGTACCTAGCCAACCTGGAAGCACAAAGAGACCCCACAGGTGGCTTCCGTGGCAACCGTGCCTTCGCCTCGTCAGCAGACAAAGCTGAGTGGGATGAGCAGAATGTGGACGGAGCTTCGGAGGAAGCTGGACCTCTGCCCTACTGCTCGGTACCCATCCCGATGGCTGATGACAACCCTCGCGAAAGCATCAACGCCGAAGTCTACTACGACTTCGCCGACAGCGGTTACATTACACCCCAACCAGTCAACACCAACGTTTCAGAACGTATCGGCCCCAACTTCTTACCTGATCCAGAAGCGGGAGACGAAGCAGTTTATCCCGAGGATGCAAATCTCCCTCGACTCTCACAGAGTGGGCTGCAGTTACTTGGTCTAGTTACTGCCGTCCATGGAGCATCGCCGACGAAAGAGCCTACTACGGTTCAACAGGCTCCGGGGGGGGAGCACAGGGAAAAATGGCGCGAAGCCATGGACAGAGAATTAAAAGCGCTGGAAGAACGCAACACGTGGAAGATGGTCCCAATCTCAGCTGCACGCGACAAAACAATCCTCACGGGAAAATGGGTGTTCCGCGTGAAGACAAAAGCAGGTGGAACAATCGATAAGTTCAAAGCACGATGGGTCATGCGTGGCTTTGATCAAGAACACAGAAGGGACTTCACCGAGACATTTGCACCGGTCAGCCGACATACCTCGCTCCGAATTCTTCTCACCATCGCCGCCATGAAGCGGAAGAAGCTCCGTCAAATCGACGTAGCAAACGCTTTCCTCTACGCCCCTGTCGACGCCGAAAACTTCGTCGAGCAGCCGCACGGATCTATCAAGGACCCCAACCTGGTCTGCCAGTTGCTGATGTCACTGTACGGGATCAAGCAAGCCCCGCGGCTGTGGCAGCAGTACCTACACATCCGATTAATCCACATCGGATTCCAGCAGCTCCCGCATGATCAAGGAATGTATCGACTCACGAAATGAGCGGAATACATCCTACTCATCGTCTACGTAGACGATTTGCTCTACATCGGCTCCACTGACGGCATCGCCACTTGGTTCGAAGGGGAGCTGCAACGGGACCTCTCTCTCACAGTCTCCTCTACCGTAACTCAGTACATAGGACTAAACATCCTAGACGGAGAAAACGCAATCTACCTCAGCGCCGCGAAGTACGCCGACACCATCGCCAAACGCTTCGGACTGACGCCGACCACCATCTCCACTCCTTATCGCTACACCGCGGGAAGTCAGCAGGAAGGGTCTAACATGCTCGGACCTGCCGGCATACGCGACTACCAACGCAAGCTGGGCTGCCTACTCTTTGAAGCCGTCACCTACCGACCAGACCTGTCCTATTCGGCGAGCCAACTCGTCACTTACCTCAAGAAGCCCGAATCCGAGCACATGGCGGAACTCGACCGCGCACTGCACTACCTCGTCAGCACACCGATGATCGGCTTAACCTATCACAAGAACGGAATTACGACCCCGAAACTAATCGGCTACGTCGACGCCGATCACGCTGGCGACTCTAACAGCAGACGATCGCGAGCGGGCTACATCTACCGACTCGAGCCCGTCGGTCCTATCTCATGGCAGTCGAGCAAGCAAGAGCTAATTGCTCTCTCTTCCACTGAAGCTACATTGCACTCTGCACAGCCACCAAAGAATGGCTGTACCTTCGCGAACTGATGGAAGAAGCGAAGCTGGCCCAGTTACCCAGCTTCTCCCTCTTCTGCGAAGCACATCGCTCTGCAATACTTCTTCGTGAAAGACGAAATCGAGAAAGGGAGACTCGAGCTATCCTACTGCCCCACATCCGAGATGGCAGCAGATTACTTGACCAAGAAACTCGGAAAGCAGAAGTTCGAGTACTGCATGCTGCTGACTGGACAAGGCCACGTCACCAACATCGAAGGCGACGACACTCCAGAAGCGAAGGGGAGTGTTGGAAACGTGTAATCGCGCTTCTGGAATATCGAGCACTACAAGAGGAACGAAACAAGCCTTAAGCGAAGCAACACCGAGTCAACCGAGCTACAGTGAAGCGGTTGACAAAAGGGGACAACAACGAGAAGTTAAAGCGAAGGTCAAAGGTCAGCGACCTTTGACTCGCCGAGACAGCGCGACAGCAAGGACAAATAACTGAACTCGACATTGAGCAGTTACCCGAGTCGTCGCTGTATTGAAACGCACTAGAGGTTACAATAACGGTTAAAACATAAAGCGGTTTCTGTATTATTCTTGTAATCTTACATAAACATTATATCTCTTCATTATAATCAACTTATCTTGTTCTCACATACCAGTACAAGGTGGTTCAACTCTATTTCACTTAGGGAACATTCCTGCCTTGACACTTGTGTCTCAAATGTATTATGACGTTCAAAAACTACATAAAACGTGCAATGTCACAAATGCGTGTCGCCTTAATGCGAATGTAACCCTATTTTACACTGGTCAGCGTCATTTGCGGTGGTGTCGCAGACGAGTTGGACGAGGCCCCGTCACCTACCTGAAATCGCACGCAACGACCAATGTCAAGCAAATTCAGTGCCAGGCCGCATGCACCTGGACGCTGGATGACTTGACAGTTTAGCGCGGAAACAAACCCGCCAAACCTGGGCAGCCTCGAAAGGGGTTTCCTTGCATGTGTTACACGCAAGGCTGCCCGACGAAACCACCACAGATCTATAGCCACCTCACCAACATGCTCCCAAGATGACTCCACGCCCTTCTTGTTGAGCGTCCATTCCGTGTTTCTTGTTTCTCAGACTCGCAAGAACTCAATCCCTCTGTTCGCCATGGCTCGTAAGCGTAAGAGCGCCGCTGAATCCGCTAACGTGATCCCGCGGGATCTCAATGCGATCCCGTATATTGCTTGGATGAACAAGCAGCTGTCCGCTAGTCGCAAGCCATCTGGCCCGCAGCCAGTAGGAACTCCTTCGCGTGGCGACACGTCTTTCCAGGCCCCACGTGACGTCCCGACGCGCGGGCGCCGTAACGCTGACAGTGTGGCTTCATCGCGTAGTCCCGAAGCTAACACGTATGGAGAGGACGACGACGACGCCGACTACAACGAGGAGGCCGACGGCACCGACGACGAAGCGGAATCCGGAGAAGAGTTGGACAAGGGCATGTCCGACTCTGACGCGGAGAGCGACGACGAGGACGCACCGGAGGAGTCGCTGCCCGCAACTCCGCCTGTTCGCCGCGGTCCTGCTAAGGCGGCACCGGGGGACAAGAACGCCGCCAAGGGCGGGGAGCCACCTCGACGCGCGCCAAAGACCCGAGAACCCATGTCGGTGAAGCGCAGCGTGTGGTCGCCCACGGAGAGCACGATCCTCGTGGCCGCCCGCTGGTTCATGAAGGATGAGCTGGGGCCGCTACTGGGGAAGCAGGGATCCCAGTATTGGGCCCGCCTTGTGCGACACATCGAGACCGAGAATCCCGGATGGGTCCGCGGCGTCAACGCCGTGCAGAAGCAGTGGCGCAACCTCGTGTCCATGTACAAGCAGTTGCAGAAGGCGGACAAGGCGTCCGGCAACGGGGTGGTGTGTAAGCCGCCGTAGTGGCCGTACATGGAGTTGTTTCAGAACAACCGTGCAGTCGCGGCGCCGCACGCCATCGCCGCCGGTGGGGCCGCACACGTGAATGCGCCGTGCGGGTTCGCGGTGCCGTCGACGTCCGCGCCATGCACCTCTACGCCGACATTCACAGGTGAGGCATTCATTTCCCCAATGTTTGGGTTCGTTATGTTCGTGTGTCTGCAATTTATTAAAAAGGTCTTCATACATCGCAACAATACGACAAACACAACCGGGCGTTACCACCTTTCATATGTGAACGTGCAGCCCCCCCTCCGGTGTCACCTCCCTCTAAGCGCCCGCGTGTGGCGGAGACGGCTACCATGGCCGCCGCCAAGCTGGTCTCCGAGACCATTAAGGATTGCCACGCGGATGCGATGGCAAAGCTGGAGGGGCTCGTCCGCGCCTGGATGCAGCAAGACGCCGAGATTGCCCGCGCCCGCAACCAGTGGCCGACCCCACCGCCACCAACCGTCAACGGAGTCCCCGCGGATGCGGCCACACAGCCCGCTCCAACTGCCGCCGAAGGCGACGACGGAGGATGGTTCCGTCACGGTGAGCATGGTGGTGGCGGAGCTACTCCGGACGAGGCCGAGGAAGTGTGGGTTCGCGGCGACGCCGTGTAAGGTAGGACGACTCCAATGCTTCACCGAGCCTCTTCCACCTTTCACGGAGTGTCCCCTGGTTGCAAGGGACGGCAGGCTCCCACTTGAAATCCGCTGCTGCGCCGCGGGTCCACCACGGATCCCGGTTCCGTGGCAAGTTTGCCCAGCCCGCATTGACACGCCTCACCTCCCCCATCGTCTCACACATGTTGTGCAGGACCACACAACAAGACGCCCCTGCAAGGACGCGCCATAGCTTGCAGTCATTGCGGCCTGCGAAGAGCCTCCACCTGCCTTTGAAGGCGCCGATGCAGCGCTCTACCGCCATGCGCGTCGCGCTCTGGCAGTAGTTGAAGCACTGCTCCCAATCCTCCATTAGGCCTTCGCGGGGTGCATGCAGGGGAGTTAGGCAGAAATCCTGAAGTGGGTAGGCTGCATCACCGACTATTTGATACGGCGCTATGTCGCCGTTTTGCAACCTTTCATGTAACGCACTGTCCATGAACACTCGTTGATCGTGTGCGCTCCCAGGGTATCCGATAAGGAAGTCCCAGATGATGCCGCGAGCATCACACGTCAGCTGCAACTGCACGGCGTAGGCGGATTTCCGTGTGTAGTACTCTTGCCTGTGCCCCTCCATCCCCTTGATGTGTACGTGTGTCCCGTCAATAGCCCCCACTACCGCAGGTACCCCTTTCACGGCGCGAAACTCCTCGGCCATCTCGTGAAGGTCATCGCGGGTGGGGAAGTGCAACCATTGCTGTTTGAAGACCGTGGCGAAATGCATCAGCCACACATCGACTAGCTCGTGGCACAATGTCTTCGACAGCCCGAATAGGTGAGAAAGGTCTATGTACGAGGGTGCACTCGCCAAGTACTTGATCGGCACAAGGTTTGCCACTTCGTGGGTAATGTAGTAACGGTCCACGTACGGCTGCATGTAGTACCTCATGCCTTCAACCACATAGTCGAGAATAGCCCTGTTAATTCTGTATATGTCCCTCAACTCCCCGTCTCCCATTCCCTGCAGGTCCTCAAGCAACAGCTGGTAACGCCGGCGCCGCAAGCTGCCCCTCCTTGCACGCTCGGCAAACCTGGTGGAGCTGTGAGAGGTGGCGGTAGACGAAATTGTCAGAGTTATATTACTGTAACTGCATGTAGATATAGCAGTAGTGTAGTTATCACATTCTGTTTGGTGGATTACCCCCTTTCCTATCATATTTGTACCCTTGACTCTATAGTGAAGTCCTCTTTCATTGCCAACTCCCTCGACACTCTACCTCCTAGCATGGCTCCTAAGACTAAACCCTAGCAACCTATCTTGACATGGTTTCAGAGCTGGTTCTTTCCTAGAACCTTCATTTTTTTTTTTCAGAAACATGGGCCCGCCCTTAATGCAGCGCGAAATGCGCTATTTTCTTCGTCCCGTCGCGCCCTGCGCCCGTCTGATTCGTCGCCCCGCGGCCCCCCATTTCGTCGCCCCGCGGCCCCTAATTCGTCGCCTCGCGGCCCCCCATTTCGTCGCCCCGCGGCCCCCGATTCGTCGCCCCGCGGCCCCCCCCGTTTCGTCGCCCCGCGGCCACCCGTTTCGACGCGCCGGGGCCCCCCGTTTCGTCGCCGCGGACGCCAGCGCCGGCGGGCGCCAGCACCAGCACAAGCACCAGCGACGAGCGCCAGCGCCGGGGCCGGCTCCCAGCGCCAGCAGCCCACGCCAGCGCCAGCAGCGGGTGATTCCGCCCTTCCCACCCGCCCTCCCTTCCGTCGTGGAGGGGGGGGGGGTTGGGGGGGGGGCGGGTGTGAGGAGCCTGCCGCTCCTCCCTCCCTTCCCTCTTCCTCTCTCCCTGCAGCACTTGTTGCTGTGGGGGGGGGGGGGGGGGGAGAGGGTAAGGGGGGATGAGGGAGGGTATGAGAGAGAGTGGCAGAAGCAGCAGCCCTGCATTTGCAACTGCCACCCCCTGCTACTGTGGCACCTCCAGCTGCAGCCCCTGTTGCCACTTAATTCGTCTCTTTCGTTTGCTGCTGTTGAGCGGCAGGTGCTGCCGTTGAGCCTGCTGTGCCGCCGCTCGTTGCCGCCGCACGCCGCTCTCCAGGCGACCTGCGCCACATGCACCTTTCTTTCGTTTCTGTATTGGCTAAGGGGTTTCTGCAGTTGTTTCTGCCACTGCTGCACTGGTTGTCATTGCTCTTGCGTGCTAATGCTTTCAGTACACTTGCAGGTTGTGATTTATGCTTTGCTATTCCTGCATGCAGTTAAGGGGGAATGTCAGAGTTATATTACTGTAACTGCATGTAGATATAGCAGTAGTGTAGTTATCACATTCTGTTTGGTGGATTACCCCCTTTCCTATCATATTTGTACCCTTGACTCTATAGTGAAGTCCTCTTTCATTGCCAACTCCCTCGACACTCTACCTCCTAGCATGGCTCCTAAGACTAAACCCTAGCAACCTATCTTGACAGAAATGTCATCGTCGAAGACATGCGACTCCAACAAACCGCCTACCCCCTTGGCGACCGCGTCCATGAAGATGCCGTAATAGAACGTGATCCATGCGACCAGGAGTCGCATGAGGAAGGGAACAGCCCTGGGTTCTGCCATGGCTGATTAGTGCGGGGGCAGTGCTGTGCATGCAGTGCCATGTTTATGTTCTTGTAGCTGTAGTTGTAGTCGTAGATGCCTCGTTCCTCTGTGATGGTTGTGGTTTCACCAACTCGCTCCAGCATCATTTGCAACACCTTGGTATAACCTGCCTGCCCGGCGCCAAAATGAGTGCGCTCGAATCAAATGGGGTGTACCCAATGGAATGACGCCAAGTGTACAACACTCTGGGTCGCACGATGTCGCGGTACATCCTTTTTTTGTGACGCGTAGATGGGCAAATTTACGGCCGCGACTCGGGAAAATTGAGATTGAGACACAAGTGTCAAGGCAGGAATGTTCCCTTAGAACGCTTCCGCTAATACATCATCCCGAGCCTTAGCTATCAAAAGATCCTAAGGGCTTTTCTCAGCCCAACAACACTTATGGCATGGCATGGTAACATTTCAGTGTGGTGTAGCCACGTGCGTCTCTAATGGGCGGAGGAGCAGCCCTCATTGCGGAGAAGGAAACAACAGACCGCACCTTCAGCCCTGCCGTCCCACCCCTGTCACCGTCCCCATTGCCCTTGAAGCTGTTGCTATGAGGCCATGAAAACGGCGAGTCAGAGGCGAAAGTGAAGGCAAATGCTGCAGTAAGGCCGGACGGCTGACACATATGGCATGGCATGGCAACATTTCACAGTGTGGTGTAGCTACGGGCATCCCTAATGGGCGGAGGCGCAGCCCTCATCCCGGAGAAGGAAACGACAGACCGCTTGATCACCTTGAGCGCTGGCATCCCACTCCTGTCACCGTCGCCATTGCCGTTAATGCTGTTGCTTTGAAGCCACGAAAACGGCGAGTCGGAGACGAAAGTAGAGGGAGTGGTGGCGGAGGCAGAGGCGGCAGTGGGGCTGGTGGGCTGGCTTGCTGCCTCCTTGAGTTCTTCAAGCACCGTCTGGCACTTGTGCTGATACCACCAGTCCTCCTCCACGAGCCTGGACGTGGAAGGAAGGGGGGAAGAGCAGAGGGAGAAGGGGCGAAAGGTTGTGCGGAAGTGAGGTGCAACATTGACTAAAGCTCTTCCAGGACCGTCTGGCACTTGTGCTGATACCACCAGTCCTTTTCCACGAGCCTGCACGTGGAAGGAAGGGGGGAAGAGCAGAGGGAGAAGGGGCGAAAGGTTGTGCGGAAGTGAGGTGCAACATTGACTAAAGCTCTTCCAGGACCGTCTGGCACTTGTGCTGATACCACCAGTCCTCCTCCACGAGCCTGCACGTGGAAGGAAGGGGGGAAGAGCAGAGGGAGAAGGGGCGAAAGGTTGTGCGGAAGTGAGGTGCAACATTGACTAAAGCTCTTCCAGTACCGTCTGGCACTTGTGCTGATACCACCAGTCCTCCTCCACGAGCCTGCACGTGGAAGGAAGGGGGGAAGAGCAGAGGGAGAAGGGGCGAAAGGTTGTGCGGAAGTGAGGTGCAACATTGACTAAAGCTCTTCCAGTACCGTCTGGCACTTGTGCTGATACCACCAGTCCTCCTCCACGAGCCTGCACGTGGAAGGAAGGGGGGAAGAGCAGAGGGAGAAGGGGGAGGAAGTGCAGAGAGAGGGAAGAGAGTGAACGAGGGAAAGGGGCTGCGGGGAGAGCAATAAAGGGAAGTTCAGGGAAGTAGTGTGAAGGCGACAAGGAGGCTAGGCCACACCTCCTGCCAACCCTCAAATCCCTGGCACCTCTCTCTCCTGCCAGCCCACCGTTTCCTACCGCTCTCAACCCTTGCTCACCTCTTGGGATCCTCCCCCGTGCGTGCACTGTAAGCCACAATCGCCCGCGTGGCGGCATCCTCTGCCAACCCCCGGATGAGTGGAGAGGAGGTCTTCCCGCTGTGTGCTGCTTGCACCACGAAATACATGTCAAACACGAGCTGGGGAGAGGGGGGAGGAGCGGAGGGTAGGGGGAAGGGAGTTGAAGGGGGGGAGGAGGGGGGAGAGGCATTAAATCAGGGAAGATGGTGGTTCCAAACTGATCTTGCCGCTGTGCGCTGCATGCACCACAAAATACATGTCAAACACGAGCTGGGGAGGGTGCGGGGAGAGGAGTAAAAGGACGATGGGAAGGAAGAGAGGGGGAAGAGGGGGAAAGAGAGGAAACAGAGTGAATGGTGCCTCACAAACGGTCTTGCCGCTGTGCGCAGTTGACTTTTGAGTCGACTAAAAAATGGAAACAGAGTGACTGCTGCCTCACAAATGGTCTTGCCGCTGTGTGAGCAGCTTGCCGAACACGAGCCTCACGAATGGTATTCCCAGTGTGAGCAGCTTGCCGAACACGAGCCTCACGAATGGTATTCCCAGTGTGAGCAGCTTGCTGAACACGAGCATCACGAATGGTATTCCCAGTGTGAGCAGCTTGCCGAACACGAGCCTCACGAATGGTATTCCCAGTGTGAGCAGCTTGCCGAACACGAGCTGGGAAAGCAGGGGGGAGGGAGGAAGGGTATACCTGGTCCAGACAAAACCAGATTTGGGCCACACCTGGTGCAGGCCACACCTGGTGCAGGCCATACCTGGTGCAGGCCTATCGGCCCAAGGGGAGGGTTTGCAGCTTGAATGTCTTCCCACATTGTACTCTCTGTAAGCAGACCCGATAGCAGCCACTCCATGACTCGTCTCAGCAGCCTCCTGTGCATGCCTTCCTGCCCCCTTAGCACCCTCTCCAGGCTTGATGCCACGGCATTCACTGTGAGGAATAGCGCCTGGAATGGGGTGGGGTGGGGGAGATGGGAGAGAACGGGAGAGGTTGGGTGCAGGGGAGGAGGACGGGGAAAGAGAGATGAGGAGGCGTAGTGCATGCCTTCCTGCCCCCTTAGCACCCTCTCTAGGCTTGATGCCACGGCATTCACTGTGAGGAACAGCGCCTGGAATGTGATGGCAGGGAGAGGGATGGGGAGGAATGGGAGCGTAAGGGAGAGATAGGATGAGGAGAGCAGGGGGGCAGGGGAGAGAGGGGAAGAGAGATGAGCAGCCTCCTGTGCATGCCTTCCTGCCCCCTTAGCACCCTCTCCAGGCTTGATGCCACGGCATTCACTGTGAGGAATAGCGCCTGGAATGGGGTGGGATGGGGGAGATGGGAGAGAACGGGAGAGGTTGGGTGCAGGGGAGGAGGGGGGAAGAGCAGGCTTAGTGCGTGGCTTCCTGTGACCTTAAGACCCGCTCTAGGCTTGATGCCACGGCATTCACTGTGAGGAATAGCGCCTGGAATGTGATGGGAGGGGGGAAGAGCAGGCTTAGTGCGTGGCTTCCTGTGACCTTGAGACCCGCTCTAGGCTTGATGCCACGGCATTCACTGTGAGGAATAGCGCCTGGAGGGAGGATGGATCATGGGAGAGGCAGGAGAAGGGAGGAGAGGTGAGCAATGGGGTGGACAGGTTCCTTTTACTAACACAAAGCATAGGGTTACCACACACACACACACGCACGCACGCACACACGCACACACGCACGCACGCACGCACGCACGCACGCACGCACGCGCACACACACACACACACACACACACATACACACACACACACACACACGCACGCACGCACGCACGCACGCACGCACGCACGCACGCACGCACGCACGCACGCACGCACGCACGCACGCACGCACGCACGCACGCACGCACGCACGCACGCACGCACGCACGCACGCACGCACGCACGCACGCACGCACGCACGCACGCACGCACACACACACACACACACACACACACACACACACACTCTCACCTGGAAGGGGGGCGATGGCAGGGGGTGCATCATCCACTGCTGCAGCTTGGTGCATGCATCCATGCCCAGGTACTCGTCTGCACACAGCACGCGCTCCCCACTCTCGCTGAACACAAACCCGCCCCACAGCGACGCACAGAAGGTCTCCCGAATTCTCCGTGCTGCTCTCTGTATCCGCGCCCTCCACACCTTCTGCTTTGCTAGATTGCTGCACGGAGAGTGGGGTGGAGAGGGGTGGAGGGGGGCGCACAGGGGTGCCGACGGGTGGTGAGTGCACAAAGCACGCGCTCCCCACTCTCGCTGAACACAAACCCGCCCCACAGCGACGCACAGAAGGTCTCCCGAATCCTCCGCGCTGCTCTCTGTATCCGCGCCCTCCACACTTTCTGCTTTGCCAGGTTGCTGCAGGCAGGGAGGGGTGGACAGGGTCGAAGAGTGGTGGAAAGGGGTGCAGAGGGGTGGTGAGTAGATTCACCAGATCGACACGCCGAAGATCTCCTGATCTTCCATGCCGTTCGCCGTAACCGCGCCCTCCACAACTTCTGCTTTGCTAGACTGCTGCGTGCGGGCATATGGGGGGAAGAGGAGAGGGAGGGGTGGGCGAATAGGTCGGACGGGTGGGTGGAGCCATATTCTGAAAAGAGAGAGGTTCGAATGTTCTGGGAGGATTTGGAGAGGACTCATATATATGTATGCATATATGAGGTACTCATACATATATATATGTATAAAATTAAAAGTTGTTGCCTTTCAAGCCACATGCACACAATTTCACATCGAGCCACAGATGTCACACCACCACCCCGTCACACCACCCCATGTCATGACACAAGTCATACCAATCCCATGTCACGCCATACATGTCACACCATACATGTCACGCCATACATACATGTCACACCATATATGTCACACCACAAGGATGTAAAAGCGCTCCCCAAGATCCATCCCATCATTGCACATACATAATATCATGGCCTCTCACTCAAGCCACATCCATACGATCCCCTATCGCACCATACACGTCACACCAGTTCACATCACCCCATCCCATCATGCACATCACATACTATTGCTGCCTCTCAAGCCATGTCGAGCGCGCCTTGCTCCTCCTCCCCCCTTTCTTCCGCCCCTCCCCTTTTTCCCCTGCTCCCACCCCGTCCACCTCCCCCCCACCCTCCCCCACCCCCTCCCCGTCCTCCCCGCCACCATCCCTCCCTCCCTCCTCACTCTCCTCCTCCTCATCCTCCCCCAAACACCCCAACCCCTCCTCATCCTCTATATCCGCTATAGTCAGCCTCACTACAAGCCTGGGAAGCAGCTCATCGGCCAAAGCAGCCACATTCCCCAGCACAGCCAGCTGCTGCGCCTCTGTCTCTGCCTCCTGAACGTGGTACACATGCCAGCTGTTTGCCGGTGGGTCTAAAAGCGGGTTACTGTGGTCGATTGTGCCTTCTTCTAGCTCTGCTTGTGTCAAAGCGTCATGTAACGAGGACAGGTCTTGCAGGGAGGAACGGCCAGCAGCAGCAGCAGCAGCAGCAGCGTCAGCACTCTCGCCATTTAATAGTCTCTGCTGGCTGGCGTTCCGTGATATGGACACCTCTTCCCACACCTCCTCCTCCCCCTCTCCCTCTGCTCCCCCCTTCCCCTCTCCTGCCTCCTTTTCTCTCTCCTCCCTTTCTGCCCCTCCCTCCTCCCCTCCCATTCCATCTGACACAGTCACACCCTCCGCACTCCCACTCCCACTCCCACTCACCCCTCCCACTTGCCCTCTCACTCCCTCTCCTCTCCCCCCCTCGCCCTCTCCCCCTGCCATCCCACTTCCAGCCATCTGCTGCGCCCTTTCTCTCCTCCTTCTCTGTGCCCGCGCACCAACAGAGCCAGGTGCCGGGGGGGGCGTGGTGTCAGGTGGAATCTCAGGTAGCGCCAGCTCCATGAGGCTCGCGAAACACTCGAACTGCGTTGCGATCGCGTCGAGAACCCTATCCAATAAATGGAGGCTGATTACAGGGAGTATGTCCTCAACTAGGTCCTGGTGAGAGTGAGAGAGGAACATATGGGAGGGCGAGGAGGGAAGAGATAAGGAGAGCACTTTATCCAATAAATGGAGGCTGATTACAGGGAGTATGTCCTCCACCAGGTCCTGGTGAGAGTGAGAGAGGGGCATGGAACCGGGGAGAGGGGGAAAAGGGGGAGCAACGAGAGCACAGGGTTACAGGGAGTATGTAGAGAAATTAGAACCCTATCCAATAAATGGATACGGATTACAGGGAGTATGTCCTCCACCAGGTCCTAGGGGGAGTGAGGAGCTTTTGAGGCGCCTCAAGAGTGAGGGAGCAGGATATAAGAGAGGGAAGGAAGAGCAATGACCAGACTTGCAGTTAAAAAAACGTAAAGCTAAAAAAGAAGCATGATTCATTAAATGGAAAACGCTTAAGTGCTCACACCAGCAGCAGCACTCGCCACCATCAGCACTCATCAGCAGCACCTTGCCACCACTAACACTCACCACGAGTAGCGGAAAAAACCGCTGAGCACTAGCCGTCCTGCCCTGCCCCCTTAGAATACGCCAAGCCCCAGCCCCCACCAGGTGATTCTTACCCGTGTGGCCCCTCGCAGCAACAGGCACCCCACCACCACCACCACTAGCACACACCATCAGCAGCACTCACCACGAGCAGCAGGTAAAACCGCTGAGCGCTCGCCGTCAGCCTAATCCTCAGCCCGCCCAGCCCCAGCACCCGCCAGGTGATTCTCCCCCCCATATGGCCCCTAGCAGCACCAGGCATACCACCACCCCACCACCGCCAGTAACACTCACCACGAGCAGCAGGTAAAACCGCTGAGCGCTCGGCGTGAGTCTGATCCTCAGCCCGCCCAGTCCCAGCACACCCCCCCACCCCCTCAGCCGCATCAGCGCCGGCGCACCCATATCCACCGCTTCCAACCGCCACTCATCGGTCGTAGCCACCGACACCACTGCATCCTCGATCCTCAGGATATTAAACTCCAGCGCCTCCATGACACTCGGCCGCATGAGTTCTCCCAGCATAGGGGCGAGACAAATCCCTTGGGGTTCCAGCAAGCGGGCGTGGCCAAGGGAAATGCAGACGCACTCGGAAGCGGCGTGGAGGCCGCCGGGGGAGGCGGCAGAGCAGAGGATGTTGCGGCGGAGGAGGGAGAAGGCGAAGGTGACCTCGCGACGCGCCCACAGGAGGAGGTCTGCTGAGCAGGCTGGCTGGTCGGCGAAGATTATGGCTGAATCGGCTGTTGCCTGAGCTATGGCGGAAAAAACAATCTGGGGATGGGAAGGGAATGGGGGACAAGGGGAGTGCCTGAGTGGGAACGGCCAAAGGAGACGCAGAAATCTGAGGAAAAGACTATCTGGGGATGGGAGGAGTACCATAGGGGGAGAGCAAGGGGGGCAGGAGGTTGAGGGAAGGGGCGGGGTTGTGGGAGCATGTGAGTGGGATACAAACACACACACGCACACACGCATGCACGCACGCGCGCGCACACACACAAAACACACGCACACACGCATGCGCGCGCGCGCGCGCACACACACACACACACACACACACGCACACACACATACACCCCCTCACGCACACACACCCACCTGTGGCAGCACAGCAGTGTACGACCTGCCAAGCCCAGCATCACTCCCTCTTCCTCACCTCCCTCACCCACCCGCCTTCCCGCCTTCCCCCCTCCCTCCCCCACACACACACGCACCTGAGACAGAGCAGCAGTGTACGACCCGCCAAGCCCAGTGGCGGACCGATGCAGCGACCGCGCACTCCTCCTGATCTGCTCCTCATACGCGCCCAGCAGCACCTGATGCGCCAGCTCCAGCTCCAGCTCCAGCTCCCCCAGCCGCATGCATCAACCCGGTAACCGCAAACCGTAACTCCTTCCCCAGCACGTCTGAGTGCCGTGCCGTGCTTCATACACTCACCCACCCATCCCCTCGCCCCTCTTCCACCCCCCCCACACACACATACAGACACCCACCTGTGACAAAGCAGCAGTGTACGACCCGCCAAACCCGGTAGCGGACCGATGGAGCGAGCGAGCAGAGCGCCGAATTCGCTCCCCATACGCGCCCAGCAGCAGCTGATGCAGCAGCTCCAGCTCCCCCAGCCGCATCAACCCATGCATCACCCCCAGCATCACCCCCAGCATCACCCCCAGCATCACCCCCAGCATCACCCCCAGCATCACCCCCAGCTTGCTTCATTCCCCACCCCCCTTCCCTCCTTCCTTCTCCCCCCCCCCCCTTCAAACCCCCCACCTCCCCTCCCCTCAAACCCACCTGAGACAGAGCAGCAGTGTACGAGCCGCCAAACCCAGTAGCAGAGCGATGCAGAGACCGGGCACTCCTCCGAATCCGCTCCCCATACGCGCCCAGCAGCAGCTGATGCGCCAGCTCCAGCTCCCCCAGCCGCATCAACCCAGTAACCGCAAACCGCAGCTCCTCCCCCAGCACGTCCGAGTGCCGCGCCGTGCGCTCCAGCTCAGCAACCAGCACCACGTGGCGCTCTGCTATTGCTGCTGACAGGGCGAGCGCCGCCGGCTCGCTCAGAAGCTCGGTTGCGGGAGAGCCGTCCGCCGCGGGTTCGGTTTCATTACCCGTGCCTGGGGCGTTATCGCCGCCCGGAACGTCAGTGCTATCCGTATTTTCATTATTTTCATTATTTTCATTATTATCCGTATTGTCACTGCCAGTGGTTTCAGCCATGCCATGAGTGCCCCCTTCCCCGTGCTCTCCCCCTTGGCTGGACATTTTCTGAGGGGGGTTTCCGCCCTTTACACTCTGCTGGATATTGTTAGAAATGATCCTCTTATTCAAGACTTCAGCCTCCTCTGCCCTCCTTTCTTTCCTCCCCTTCGCCCCCTCCCCTTCCCTTCCCTCTGCTGCCGCCTCAACAGCTCTAGCAGCAGCAGCAGCAGCCGCCGCAGACACTATTGCAGCGCTCCGCCTCCTGTCCTGAAAGCTACCCCCCTGCCTTGAGCCCTCCCCCACATCCCCATTCCCTAACCTCTCGCCCCCCAAACCTGCATTCCCCACGTTCTCCTCCACACTCCTCGCTCGAGGCCCCGTTCTCAAGCCCCCTTTCAACCCCTCTTTCAAGCTTTCTTTCAGGTTGCCTCTCAAGCCCCCTCCTATAGGCACACCGTCCACGCTGCTCCCCTTCCCCATACCTTCATACACATACCCCCACTCCTCTCTACGCGTTCCCCCAGTAAGAGATCTCTTTGTGAGAGGCCTCTCATCCCAACCCTGCTCTGACCCTGCTCGTTGCTGCTCGCCGTGCTCCCCCTCCCCCTCCTCCTTTGCCTCCTCTTCCGCCTCATCCTCCTCCTCTTCTCCTTCCGCTCCTCCCTCCTCCTCTCTCAACCATCGTTCCACCCGCCCTTCTTCCCCCTCCTCCCCGCCACCCTTTCCATCCCACACCTTTCCCCCTTCCCCTTCCGCAAACTCTCCCTCCTTGTTCCTCCTCCTCTCATGTGACTGTAACGAGAGCTGCGCCATCTGCTGCCCCTGCTCCAGCAGCTCAATCGCCTGGTCAATCTTCTGCTCCGTTATAAGCCCATCCAGTACATCAGGCAACGCCTCCGCATACCTCTCCATCTCCGTCGGCTCCCTCTCCTCCTCATCCCACCCCTCCTCCATCCCATCCTCCTCCTCTTCCTCCTCCTCCCATTCCCCATCCCTCCCCCTCGTCCTCCTCCTCCTCAACCTCACCTCCCCTCCCCCCTCCCCATCCTTCCCCATCACACTCCCAGAGCTCCCAACCGACCAAACCTGCCCACTCTCCCTCGCCCCGGCCCCATGCCAGCCTCCGTGCGGGGTAAAAGGGGGAGAGGAATGCACAGAATGGTCCGGCGTATGGCTAGAGTCCGACCCGTCGTCGTGAATCCCCCCGCCTTCCGACCTGCGGCGGGTGTGGTGCGGCGAGGAGGAGTGGGCGAAGAGGGAGAGCGCGAGGGTGCGGCTCTGGCAGCTGCCTTTCTCCGCGAGGGAATGGATGAGCGCCGTGTTGAGCGTCAGCATCTCGCGCATTCGCTTCAGCTGCACCTGGAAGGCGGAGATCTGCTTGGAAGTGCTGGAGGGAAGAGAGAGGGGGGGAGCGGGGGGGGGAGGGGGGAACAGGCGGATAGTGAGTGAATGAGCGCCGCGCCGTGTTGAGCGTGAGCATCTCGCGCGCGCGCTTCAGCTGCACATGCAACGCGGAATCTGTTTCGACGTGCTGGTGGGGGGGACGGGAGGGGAAAAGGGGGGAGGAAGAGGGGGGATGGGGTTGGTGTAAAGGAATGGGGTAGGAGGGGTGTTGACGGGGTAGTGGGGGAAGAGGGGAGGGGGAAGAGGGGAGGGGAAGGAGGAAGCGTGGAGATGGAGAGTGGAGGAGGGGTAGGAGGGGGGGAGGGGGGAGTGAGGAGGGGGGAGGGGGGATGGGGGAGCGGGTAGGGGGAGCGGGAAGGAGAGATAGAGGGGGGGAGAGGGGGGAGGGGATGAAGTTGGGGAAGGAGCGTTGGGAAAGAAACAAGAGAAGATGAGGCAACACGGAGGGTTGCGAACTTCCACATCCGCTTCACTTCACCTGCAGCTGAGAGCGGAAGGGACGTTGGGAGCGAGCGAGGTACACAAGTGGAGTGCAGTGGGTGGGTGAGAGACTGACCGTATGAAGGCGGGGTAGCTTTTGAGTCGACTCAAAAGTCACAGCGAGGTACACAAGTGGAGTGCAGTGGGTGGGTGAGAGACTGACCTTTGAGACGTCTCAAAAGTGCAGTGGGTGGGTGAGAGACTGACCTTTGAGACGTCTCAAAAGTGCAGTGGGTGGGTGAGAGAGACTGACCGTATGAAGGCGGGGTAGTTGGCATACACGCTCCGCCGCATCTCCTCGGCAGACACTCGCCTGAACTCCGCCAGCTCCTGCGCCAGCCGCCGCACCTCCTGTGTTGGCCAAGGGAAATGAGGGAGCCACGGGGAGCGTGGGAAGAGGGACAGCTTCTGAGGCGCCTTGAAAGTCGTCTCATGTCTTGCCGGAACCCCATCAGCTCTGCTGCCAGCCGCCGCACCTCCTGTGGGGGGCGAGGGGAACCATGGGTACAAACAACGGGAGATAGTGGGGACAGTGAGATGCCTTGAAAGTCGTCTCATGTCTCGCCGGAACCCCATCAGCTCTGCTGCCAGCCGCCGCACCTCCTGTGGGGGGCGAGGGGGCGAAGGAAATGAGGGGAGGAAGGGGAACAGTGGGGTGGAAACAAGGGGGGTGCGGAGGGACAGCTTCTGAGGCGCCTCTAGAGTCGTCTCACGTCTCGCCTGAACCCCATCAGCTCTGCTGTCAGCCGCCTCACCTCCTGTGAGAGTTGAGGGAAAATTGGGGAGCAAGGGGAACAATGGGGTGCAAACAATGGGGACATCATCCCAATGTCTCCCCCATTCGACTCAACGGACCGCTCATGGTCGCTCCGTAATCGTTCACAACCCCTCACAATCCCTCAATATCACTCAAAATCCCTCAAAATTCGTCGCAGCGCTTCGCGCCACGAGACTCACCCATTCGTCGTTCTCCTCCATCTGCTCCTCCGCGTAAGCCTCCGCATCGAACCGATCCTGTGAGAAATTCATCGCGACAAATTGTTCTTCGCCACGAATTTGCGGAACTCCCCGTCACGAAGTTCGAGACTTTGTTCGCCACCCAATCAGAAGGTTGTGTTCTCGTCCCGCTTTCGCCGGAGTGGATCACCGATTTTTAGCCCACAAAATCTCCTCCGACTTTCTCCGAATGCTTTCGTTTGACTTTAAACCTCGCAGTAGTCTCCGCCTTCGATTCACTTGAGCTCCCCCGTCAGCGTCACTTCGTAAACGGGCATTCCTCTGCCGTCGTCGTCCGCCACGTGAAATGAGGGTGTTTTTGAGACGTCTCAAAAACTTCCGCTTTCCGCCTTGCTTTTCGATCGCTCCCCTCTTCCTCCCGGCCTTTCGCCTCCGCTCTAACCACCCGGACTCGCCAGAAAATTAACTCCAACTGCAGGAGTTACTTTGTCGCTATCCTGGAGAGCTGGGACTCTCTCGACCGTGATGTAACATGGTAACATAGATTACATAAAGGAGAAAAATCATGCTACATATGTTACGCAATATTACGATAGGCTACTGCGTAAGTCGACTCGAGGCCAATAAGATATGCATCGCGAAGGTTACTATTGCATACGGATTCTATGAACGAACGGTACCATAGAGTTGATAACAATGGCTTGTAACTAACGTAAAAGCTACTATTGCAGTAATAAGTAATACGCGTCTAGTCAGACAGACTTTGCAGCACTTATTAGGGCATCTGGCAGGACGCATTTTATATCCGCATTGCTTGCTCAGGCTCTTGCACTGCCGAGTCAACTGGCTTCACAAGCACATTACTGCGAGCAGTTACATACATCAGTGCAACTGCTGCCTTTCTTATCAGCGTCTTCCGAAAATAAATCGGATGCACGTTACTGTCTGACGATCGGTTGGACGTAGAGCTGCTCTCTTCTCTCTGTCCTGTAAACACTTCTACAAGATCGTGCATTCATGAACTTGCGAAAAAAGTACATCTTGTAAATGCTACATTTGTCCCATCAACCCGAGTCGTTGTGGTGGCGTTCCGCTTTGCACAATGAACTTGCTCAACGGAGCTTTTCGCGGTGTGGTGTGTTGTGTGTGAGTGGGTAGGAGAATGCACTGAAAGAAACTGAACCAGCATGGTCGTTTGCTCTGCTGCATAGCTGCAAAACAAACGAGTAAAACAAGGACAAACTCTAGATGTGCACTGTGTATGCACTTACGCTGTGGAGTGAATGTGGATGTGTGAGCAAGAAAGGTGTGCTCGATGTCCTCTGTATCCCACTCAACAGCTATAAGTATTTATTCAACCTTTCTTGACCGTGGGAATCCGGAATACAGAACACGTACACCATCGGGCAGGAGGAAATGGGGGCACACAGTTGGGCTGGGCAACGGCTACAGTACCAGGAAGGAAGAAAGATTTCGTGCAGCGTTCAAATGGTCACACCAAAACAGGAAATTATCTAATCAGTCACATTGAAGGCGATTTTTATCACATTTGGTCTAGTGCGAATCACGAACGGTCACAGTACAGTGCGGATCTATTACGGGTAATCGCAAAGCTATCACATATAGTCACACGCTGCCCTGCATTTCTATCATGTTTGGTCATACATGAAATGCACCTCGCGAAGTTGAAACTTTCGACGCAACTGCTGAGATTCAGGGACAATTAACTCGGAATTATCTTGGCGCGAATCACTAATACCTCCAAAATTAACTCGCTACGAACCCCGCGAATTCAAGAAAACAGACGCAAGTTACTTCGCACTGTACTGTGACCGTTCGTGATTCGCATGTAACCAAACGTGATAGAATCGCCTTAATTGTGACTGCGCGTTTAATTTCCCCACCTTTTGGGCTCTCCGCGATATACTACTGAAACTCTCTCAAACATACTGTAACGCGTGCTGGGACTTCATAAAGTTTCTTACAATAGAGTAGGACCCTCCCCATTACATTAATGAAATTATTAGACCCTGTGGTCATTTATCCAAGGCATTACGTTGGCTGCACCGTTTGTATCCCATAGGCTGAAGAGGTGCAATCATTCTTAATCCTATGGCCTAAAACACTGCACCAATCGAAGTCTATGGCCTGAACAGCCGCACTGTCTGTGCCACATGGGATCGGCAGAAGGGGCAGCGGTGCACGCTGGCGATACAGCTGGCGCACAGCACGTGCCCGCATGGCACCAGCACCGCGCTGACATCAGCAGCGAGGCAGATGCGGCACGTCCACGCCGCCTTGGCCGACTCCGCTTCCTTCTCTGCCTGCTCTGCTCTTGCCTGTGAGGGATTCAGCAGGAAATGGGAACAGGGAAAGCACTAAGGCAAGAGAGGTGGGTATGAAATGAAGTGCACTGCCTAGACCGTTTCTGCTTCCTGCTCAGCTAAAAACCCTGCCACCACTGAGTTCGCCTAATGCAACAGAGCAACCAAGAGAGTGACCGAACAGCCAATGAGAATGACCCACCTGTTCATGCGCCAGCGTGGCCTCCACCGCCGCCACCTGTTCCTGCATCGTCAGCAGCTGAGTCAGCAGCCGCTGCTGCCCGCCACCCAGCGGGATCCCTGCAGCTGCCAGCATGTCATTCACAGCCCGCACCACCTCGCCAGGCGGGACCACTGACGACGCTGCCATGGCACCAGCTGGCGATGCCTGCCCCACTGCTGAGCTGGCAGCGTTAGAACCAGGAGAGGCAGGAGGAAGGGCCGACGGGCTTGGAGAGACGGCAGCAGCAGCAGTGGCATTGGCAGCAGAACGGGCCGCCTCTTCCCCTGCTGCTGCTGTTGCGGTGGCAGCAGCAGCAGAGGCGGAGGAGGAGGTGGAGGATTTGAAGGAGAGGATGGAGGAGGAGAGCAGCAGGCGCATCTCATTGGGGAAGGTCTCCACCTGCACTCGGCACAGCGCCTGCCCTGCTGTCGCCCTCACATCCGCCACCACCCGCCCGTACCGCAGCGTGCTGGATGCCGGTGCTGCGGCCGTTGCTGCTGTTGCTGCACTGCCAAATCCTTTTCCTCCTCCTCCTACCGCCTGCCCCTGCCCCTGCCCCTGTCCAAACCACCTGCCTGCTAGCTCCCCTCCGCCTCCTCCCCCTCGCTCCTCTCTCCACGCTACAACCTCCCCTGCATGGAACGGCCTCAGTGGGTGGCACTGTAGCAGTGCCACGTCAGCAGCTGCTACAACCTCCCCAGGCATGCCTCCCCTTTCCGCCGCCACCCGCTGCTGCCAGAGGCTCGGCATCCGAGCCTGCCCTTCCGAGCCTGAGGTTGCTGGGTCTGCACCCAAACCCCCCTCCTCTTCGCCTTCCACTTCCGAACCTGATCCAGAGCTGCCAGAGGTGGCAGAAACCAGGGCTGCTGGAGAACCGAGCGCCAAGGCTCGGCGGAGGCCCGGTTGGAGGTTTGGCGGGCAGTCAAGCAGGGCGGAAAGAGGCAAGCAGACGGGGGAGCCCAGGAATTGGCTAAGGGCGGCAGATAAAACGTGCGGGAGAGACGCTACTGTAGCAGATGCTGCTAAGATAAAGACAAGACCTTGCCGCCCATCCACAAAGAAAAGTTCTCCTGGAACTGCCTCTGCTGTTGTGATTGCTGTTGCTGCTGTGGTTGATCCTTCTCCTCCCCCTGCTTCCCTGTTGCTACTGGCTTTGTCTGTTCTTCTTGCTTCAGCAGCTGCTGCTGCTGCCACTGCTGCTGCTACAGCACTACCCACCGACCCTATATCTGGGTCCCTCACACCACTATGCAAGCCTCCTAAAGGTGAGTTACTAGTTATGGTACTGCTGTTGGGATAGGGATGCTGATTCTGATGGTGGTGCTGACGTGTCGTCCTACGTGGCACCACCTTACGGGACGGCAGGATCACGAATCGCGTTTGGAGGGCCGACACGAACCGCAAGCCCTGCGCAGCTCGCGTGAGCGCCCGCCACGTGTCGTCGCGCGATTGGATGGGGGAGAAGGATGGAGGGGCGCGGGAGGAGGGAGGGGTAACATCCCTTGTTCGAAAAGAGAAGGGAGAGGAGGTGGAGGAGGATGCAGAGGATGAGGAGGAAGAGGAGTTGGGTGATGAACCAAGTGTGGCAGAGGAGGAGGATGAGAAGAGAGAGGAGGGAGTTGATGCTGCTGCTGCTGCAGTGAATTGGTGCAGGATAGACCAAGTAGCAGCTGCAAACTCTCTACTGCTGATCCTCTCACCGACACTCCTAAGAACCACCCCTCCCACCGAGCCTACCTGCTGCATCGGCAGGTTTGGTTCCAGCTCCTGCTCGATCACCTGCGACAGGCTCGGGATTCCAAGCCTGGCCGCGTGGCTCGGCGGGAGGAGCGGATGCACGAGTCGCAAGCAGCGCGGGTCGATTTCATTGGCTAGGAAAACAGCAGCCGGGTCGACCACCACACAGGAATGGGCTGGGATGAGCCGGCAAGAATCATCTGGAACCACCGCGTGAGCAAGGAGAGTAGAGAGTGCTGCAGAACGAGAGGACAGCATTCCTGCTGCTCCTCCTCCCCCTCCACCTCCCCCATTCTCCTCCTCTCCCTCACACACGAGTCTCAGGATTCTCAGAACCGCTCGAAGCTCATTCGGGTTGAGCCTCTGCCCTCCGGAAGAGCGGTGCAAGGCAGAGAGGAAGGAGGAGAGGGCAGAGGGAGAGGGCGAATCGTGCATCCCAAGGTCTACCAGTAGCTGGGAGAACGGAAGAAAGCGCCGAGGCAGCTCGAACAGGTACGGCGCGAGGTCCGGGCCGAGCCTGGCGAAGAGCGCCGAGGCTGGGACGAGGCGCGTGCCGTTGGCGACAGGGACGAGCGAGACGGGCTTTAAGGCGCGGATGTCGGGCGGGTCGAGGGAGGACCAATGGGAGGCGAGGAACTTGAAGATCTGCTCAAACGCTTCTTCCACCGACTTTCCTCCTACGATGTTTGGCCAGCGAGCGAGTGTCTCCTCTCCCCCTCCTCGACCCAACACCTGTCGGGGGGAGAGGGAAGGGAGGAGCAGGGGCGGAGAACAAAAAGAAAGGAAGAATGGGTTGTAAGGCTAAGTGGGGTTGGGTACTACTACACCACGTTGGGCCAATGGGAAGGAGAGAGGCTTTAGATGATAGCCTGTTGAGGACAAGAATGTTGCGTGTCAAGTCCTCAAGACAGCTCTTTTACCCGAGAACAATTATCGTGGTTAAGAGATTGGGCTTTGACCAACATTATTAAAATGAAAGCTGGTGAAAGCTGGGAAAATGAAAGTTGGTTGGGACGAGGCGAAGGCCTACCTCCCCAGCACAGGCAAAGTGAAATGCCTGTCCATGCGAGAAATGCACACAAAGTGAGACTGCCTTCTACGGTTGTGAGGGAACGTATCTTCAAGTGTGTGAGCACAAGGCTAAGAGGTGGCGGGGATTTGGGCCCCAGCTTGAGCCACGTGAACTGCGGCGGGACGTAGGCCTCCCTTGCACAGGCAGCACTAGTCCATGCGAGCAAACATGTGCGTTCTTGTGTTCGTGGGAGACAGAGAGTGACACACACACTAGCCTTTACGGGTGTGTGAGAGAGAGAAGAGCGTACCTTGAGGTGTGTGAGAACAAGGCTGAGGGGCGGCGGCGACTTGAGCCCCAGCTTGAGCCACGTGAACTGCGGCGGGACGTAGGCTTCCCTGGCCAGCACAGGCACAGCGGTCCATGCGAGCGGCCAATCAGAGGGCGCCACGCAGGCAGCAAAGCTAGCGAGGCACCGCCGGTCCACTGCTGCCCCGCCTGTCGGTATTCCTCGCTCTGCTGGGATGAATCTGGGGAAGGTGGGTGGGAAGGGGGGGAAGTAGAGGAGCGGGGGGAAGAAAGGGGAGAAGCGGGGAAGTGGCGGAATGGTAGTGCGTGTGTGGCAATAAGAGGGTAGCGCAGCAAATGCAGCTGGCGAGGCACCGCCGGTCCACTGCTGCCCTGCCCGTCGGTATTCCGCGCTCTGCTGGGATAAACCTGGGGTGTGAGGAGGGGTCGAGAAGGGATGGTGGGAGCAAGGGAAGGGGAAAAGTGGGGCATTGGGGGCGTGTGTGGTGTTGGGGCATTGGGGGAAAAGTGGGGCATTGGGGGCGTGTGCGGCACCAAGGGGATAACAGAGCAAGTGCAGCTGGCGAGGCACCACTGGTCACTTATGAGAATTCTCAAAAGCAAGGCACCACCCACCCACTGGCCCACTGCCTGCCACCATGCCTGTCAGTATTCCGCGCTCTCCGAGTGGAGTGGAGTGGAGTGGAGTGGAGTGGAGTGGAGTGGAGTGGAGTGGAGTGGAGTGGAGTGGAGTGGAGTGGAGCCTGGCAGTGGGGGTTTTTGAGGCGCCTCAAAAAACATGCCTGTCAGAGTTCTTCGCTCTCCGAGTGGAGTGGAGTGGAGTGGAGTGGAGCCTGGCAGTGGGGGGGCCCACCACCCCCCGTAGCTCCTTCTCCACCCTCACCACCACTGGGGGCGGGGCGGGACGAGCGCCACGAAACAAGGCACAAGCTGAGGGGCCTAGAAATAATTGTGACTCACCTGATCTGCCCCAGCGACTCCATGGCACTGCTCCCAAACACCACCACCACATTCGCCAGAAGAGCCTCGGTTAGCCGCCCTGCCACCACCCACAGCTCCTCCTCTACCCCCACCACCGCCCCCATCCCCTCTCCTCCTGCTCCTCCCACTCCTCCTGCTGCTCTAGCAGCAGCAGAGAAGCCACCACAGCTGCTGCTGCTGCTGCCACCGGTGGTGCGGCCTCCCGAGAACAAATCCACGCTCACAAAGTCCTCTGTGTCCCCTGTGCTGCTCTCCTGAGAGGAGTCCTCTTCCCCAAACAGCAGAAACGAATCCGATGCAGAGCCACCAGCAACAGCAGCGGTGGTGGCGCCAGCAGTGCATGCAGCTGCTGCTGCTGCAGCTGCGGAGGAAGATTCCAGGAAGGAGACGTACCGCGCTTCGACGGCGGAAGCGCATTGGAGGAAGAGGTCGGGAGTGAAGGCGGATTGGAGGCCGCAGTCCCGCAGCACGGGCAGCCACCGCGAAGTCTCAAACTGCCCGCCTGGGAACCTTTCCGGGCAGTGCACGAAAACTTGCCGGAGGAGGTCGTTGGCTGGGTCGAGGAGATCGCACGGGCGGACCCGGGCAGAAGAATTTGAAGAAGAGGGGGGAGAGTCAAGAGGGTGGGAAGGGTGAGGAGAGAAGGAGGAGGTGGGAGGTGCTGTGGTGGCTGTGGCAACAGAGAGAGCAATTGCAGGGAAAGAGTCAGGAGGAGGGTAGAGAGACGCGGCATCGGTGGCGGGCGGCGCTGGTATCACAAACTTTGTCTCTTTCAGTGCGTCCACAACCGCTGGTCTCTGCTTCAGCTGCTGCCAATGCTGCACCACGTACTGTAGCACCCTCTCCCTCTCCTCCTCGCCCTGCCCGTCAAATCCGGGCAGCGCAAATTTTGCGAGAACGTCCGCCTCGTCGATGACCCTCACGCCGAGACAGCTTAGCAGAGCTTTCTCACCGGGAGAATCCCTGTCCTGCAGACACGTGGCATCTTTTGGTTGGTAGAACGCGACAGGTGGCGCGACGCAGTGCAAGTCAGGATCAATGGCAGTGAAATCTCCGAGGGTAGTTTTGAAGATTGGGAGCGAGCGGAGAAGTGCGAGCTCTTGAAGGGTGTAGGGGGAGGGAGAGGAGGAGGAGGAGGAGGAGGAGGAGGAGGAGGAGATACTGCTGGCGATGGACTGGAGAAAAGAGGAGGGCGAGCGAACGTGAGAAGCGAAGAAGGAGACCAAGTCGTCACAGTCCTGAGGGGAGAGAGCTAGCGCGAGAGCAGCAGGGGGAGGAAGCCGATCAAAGGATTTAGCCGCTAGCAGCCGAGCCAGCACCAGCTGCTGCAGAGACTGCTGCTGCTGCTGCTGCTGCTGCTGGGTGTGATGGGTGTTGTCCGAGCCTCCTATCCGAGCCTCCTCGCAGCACCGGAGTGCTTCGGAGCAAGCGACGAACCTCCGGTCGAAGATTGGGATGCCGAGCCTGTCCCGCAGGACTGGGAGCAGCCACGGGTGGTCCCGTACCAGTGCGTCAAACCTCCACAAAAGCCGCCGAACCTCGAGGGTCAGGTGCTTCGGCGGGTGCGCATTGGAGGTCACTGGAGTTGCAGGATTTGCTGAGGTGCCACGTGGCAGCCTGTCATTGGCTGCTCCAGCTTCAGAACCTTCAACAGGAAAAGAGGCATCAGAGGCAGCAGAGATGCCAGCAGCAGAAGAATCTCCAAAATCAGCCCACCCCACAGCTGCCACGGCAGGAGATTCCGAGCCCTGAATACCACCTCCCCCTGAACTACCTTCCCCACTAGCCCCTGCTCCTGACACAGGCACTGCAGGCTCGGCAGGAGGCACGGCAGGTGGCCCGGCAGGAGGCTCGGAAGGAGGGACACCGGCATCTGGAGGGACGAAAACAGCTGCGCGGAAAGCCACCTTGACCAATACGCTGCCGCCACGTGTCACTGCAGGAATCAACGGCCAGGATTCAAAGATCTCCACCCACTCCTGCTGCCCTCTGCCACCAGTGCCACTGTTGTCAAGAGCCTGGGTAGTACGTGCCGAAGAGAGGGAGGGGCGCTTTAGCAGAGCCCAGAAGGCTCTAAGCCACTCAGGAGAGAGCGGGTCCAAGGGAGAATCCCTAGAGCTGCTCTGCTGCTGTCTGCTGCTGGTGGAAGTGGCTGTGGCAACGGCTGCGGTGGCAGTACCTGGAAGGTGCGTTTGCAGCAGCTGTTGCTGCTCTGGGTTCTCTCCCTGCTGTTCATTCTCCTCCTCCCCCTCTTCGCATACATCTGCTCCCTCTCCCTGCCCCCACACTATCAGCATCTCTCCTTCCGCCTCTGCCCTCTGCTGCCGGGAAAACACTGTGGATAGCCCGTCTGCCAGGTGGCGCAACATGAATGGCTGCATCGTCAGCAGCTCGCAGAACCTCGGGTGCAGGAAGAGGACTTTCAGAAGCTGCCGAGCCAAGCAGGTTCGATGAACGAACCTGTGCGCTAGGTTCGGCAGCAGCCGCTGCTGTTCCCAAGTGGCAACTATAAGGAGGTCTTTCCCAAGCCTGGCTAGACCCCCGCCGGCCCCACCGTGCCTCTGAGGCTCGGATTGGAAGGCTCGGAAAGCAGGGTCGGAGACTGTACCAGTAGGTACGGGAACACCCTTCATTTCTGCAACCTTGGCTTCTGCTGCCTTCCTGGAAGCTTCCTCTGCTGCTAGTCGCTCCCTCTCCTCCTCTGTCAGTGCAGGCCTCTCCTCTCCCTCCCCTCCTCCTCCACCCCCTCCTCTCCCTCCTCCTCTTCCCCGTCCTTCGCCCGAGTTAATTTGTTCGCTGCCCGTCGCACCTGCCCGGGCAGCATCGAGCTCGTCGAGAACGTTCTGCCCGAAGTCGAAAACAGACCGGCCAAACTGAGCCATGAGATCCGCCAATGCATCTGCATCACTGCGCATGCCATCCCCGTGCCCTTGCCCATGACCTTGTCCATAGCCTTGCCCATGCCTTGTTGTACTATTGCCGCTACCAGCACCACCACCAGCAGCACCGTACCCAGCATACCCGCCGTGAGAGCCAAGACCACTGCTGCCTGAACCACCACCACCCCCTCCCCCTCCCCTTGCTGCTGCTGCGCCGCCCATTCCCCCCATCCTCGCCCCTTCCAGCCTCCGCAGCAACGCTTCTGCTGCTCCCACCCCTAACCCTCTGCTTTCCCCTGCCCCCCCTCCGCCTCTCCCTACTCCTCTGCTTCCCCCTTCCCCTCCCCCTCCGCCCCTCAGCAGCGCCCGCACCTCCCTGGGCAGTGGAAGCATGCTGAATGCTCCCCCAGCGCCGCGTGGCGCTGCTGACGTGGCAGCGCTGCCAGCCTGGCTGGCGGATGAAGAGCTGCCGCCAGGTGGCAGCGCGGGATAGGAGGCTGGATCGGGCAGTTGGATGTCCGCACAGCAGTACTCTAGCAGATCGACCTGGAAAAAGGGAAAGAGGGGAGAGGTGAGGAGGAGGAAGGAAGGAGCGAGAAAGAGGAAATGGGGGGCAAGGAATGGGGGATCAAGGGGAGGAGGTGATTGCGGTGACAATCAGCACCGCTTGTCGGAGCATTTGTGCAGGCGAGTGCAGATCAGCTCAGCAGCATTCCAAGAGGCAAGCACAGGAGTTCTCTTCAATTTCCATTCCCTTTTCGTCTTTTATGAAGCGAATCATCAGGACAAAAAGCCATACCTGCGTGGTAACGGGGACAGAGCTCGTGGCAGCGTTGGGCCCGCGTAGCAGCGAGCGCAGCATGCCAGGTGTCAGCGCCTGAGTGGCCACACTGGCCGCATGCAGCTCGCCCACCAGGTCCCACGGCACGCTGAACACGCGGTAGTGCGCCCGCAGAAACTCACACACCGCCTCGGGCGGCGCTCCGCTGCCACCAGATGTGCCTATAACGGATGTGCTTATAACGGATGAGTTTATAACGGATGTGTTTATAGCGGAGCTGCTGTTGGCAGGTGTGCTTATAGCGGAGCTGCTTATAGAGGGGGTGGTTATGGAGCCCGGTGGCGGGACGAGGAACATCCCTTGGCTGACTTGCACGGCTGCACCGCTGTGGAGCTGCCACACGGGCAGCTCTGCCAGCCGGACGTACATTGGGCGCACCATCCAATCACGCAGCGCCAGCTCATCACCTGTGGCGGCTGCGCCTGCTGCTCCTCCCGCTGGCTGATCTTTCGGCTCATTCTCAGGAGAGGCAGAATGAGTGGACAGGGGATGAGAAGCAGTGGGATGAGTGGAGGAAGTGGGGAGAGGAGAAGAGGAAGAGGTGGGGATTGCGGGAAGAGCAGCACGAGCAGGAATGAAGGAGCGGGGGAAGAGGGAGTAGAATTGATCCGCTGGGAACAGTGCTCCTCTCAACTGCTGCTGCTGCTGGTGGTACTGCTGCTGCTGCTGACGGTTACTGCTTCTCAGCCCCTGAGATTGGTGAGACATACCACCAGACACACCAGATATGCCTGATATGCCTGATACCAGCCGTGATTCACCGATTCGGATCCTCTGCATCTCCAGCAGGAGCCCGATGTACGCCTCGCGCACACCTGTCAGCAGCTCCTCGTTCCACGCCTGCATCAGCGCGTCCATCGGTGACGTGGCGGCTGCTGACGTGGCACCCGGTGCCACGTCAGCAGTAGGCATCGAAGGAGTAGCGGAGGAGAGGGAGAGGGAGGCAGAAGTGGAAGAGGAAGAGGGGGAGGAAGAGGGGCGAGGGAGGAAGAGGGATCGAGGGGAACCAGGGTTGCGGAGGAGGAGAAAGTGGCCGAAAAGAGCCACTGGGAAGGGCAGGTTGAGGGGCACGGGTAGGGGCGCGAGAATCACCGACGGTGGGAGGAACGGGCGGAAGGGGGAGAGGGCGGAGGAGGGAGTGGAGGAGGAAGAGGAGGGGACTGCTGAAGGCGGGTGTGGCTGTGATAGTGGTTGTGATACTGGTCGTGATAGTGGTTGTGGAGGAAAGGGGTGGGTGGTGGCGAATGGGATGATCTCGCCGTTCCGGAGGATTCGGGTGGCGGCGCCGGCCACTGGTGAGAGGTTGAAGGAGAGGTACCTCCTGTGGGATGGGATGGGGGGAGGGGAGGCAGAAAGTGATGTTTAAATAAGGTGTCTTGAAACTCGAAGGCCTGCCAGAGGTAAGAGGTTGAAGGAGAGGTATCGCCTGTGGGATGGGATGGGCAGGGCAGGAGGGACAAGAGGATAATCTGAGAAGGGAAGAGGGGTAGGTAGGCAGGCAGATACATATTAGTGGGTGCCTAAAGAATAGCCAGCACTGGGCAGAGGTAACCACCACAGCAAGTAAGTATGGGCACAGGCATGCAGTATATTCACTTGCCTTGGGCCATATCCAGCAAGCTCCCAGCCCCAAACCAAACGTCTGCACTAATTCAAGGCAGTCAGAAAGCCCTGACTTACAATGCACCTAGACTGGACAGGCAGGTAGCATGGCACCATCACATCACACTCACTTGCTCCATGCTATGTATCCAGGGATCTCCCAGCGCCAAACCCACACGTCTGCACAACGCAGGGTTCAACGCCCTAGACCCACACGTTCAAGGCAGTCAAAACGCCCTAGATTCAGTGCATCTGGACAGGCTGCATGACAGCGTGACACTCACTTGCTCCGTGCCATATCCAGGGAGCTCCCCGCTCCAAATGTCTGCACCACAAGCCAACGATCAATCGCCACGTCAGAAACTCCAGCAGCCTTCTTCCCCGCACCACCCCCATGCCCCGCCACCCTCCCCAACCTCTCTCCACTCCTCCCTCCCTCCTCCTCCTCCTCCTCCTCCTCCTGCTGCTGCTGCTTCTGCAGTGCCGCCTTCCCCCTTCCCACCTCCTCTCCTCCCTTCCCTTCCTCCAGATTTCTCTCCCCTTCTTGTTCCCTTCCACCCTCCCCCCTCCCCGCCCTCCCATCTCCTTCCCCACTCCCGCCTCCCTCCTCTCCACCACCGCTCCCCAGCAGCGGGGCCAGGGACTGCGACTTGGTGAGAACATCTAGAGTGAACGCTTTAAGGCTGCTGTTGCTGCTGCTGCTGCTGCTGCTGCCATTGCCCCCACCAGGGGCGAAGAGGCTGGAGAGGAATCCCTGCTTGCGCACCTTGCGGTCCTGAAAGGGTGCTCTCAGTGGTCCCATGCCTGCTCGGATCTGCAGGGATCGGGAGGGAGAGGGAGGGAATGAGAGTGGGACGGAGAAGCGAGGGAGAAAGAGCGCCTGGAATTCCGGACCAGCACCTCGCGGTCCTGAAGGGGCGCTCTCAGGGACCTCATGCTCTCAGGGACCTCATGCTCTCAGGGACCTCATGCTCTCAGGGACCTCATGCTCGCTGGAACCTGTGGAGAGGGGAGGAGGAGGGAGCAGCAGGCGAAGGAAAACTAGGCTCTGGATGATGTGTGAGTGTGTGCAACACCAGTTGGGGAGAAATACAGCACGAAAAAAAAAAAAATCAAAAGATGGGACTGACCTGGACATGGAAAAACTCTTCTGGTTGGGCAGCGGCGGCCGGCCACACAGAGAACGACACCTGGCGTGGAGTGGATGGGATAGGGTGAAGTGTAAAGAATTGGAGGGGGAGAGGGGAAGTTGTAAGAGGCGCTTAGGAAGTGATGGGGAAGATTCCAAAAAAGGGGTGCCTTTTCCAAAGAGAATGCGGCCCCTAAGCCACCAGCACACACACACGTTTCAGCTGGGCCATCACCATAATCACCCCATGTATAATCACTGTCATTGTACAGTCACACGGCAAGGCGGCACACTTACCGTCTCCACAGAGTTCAAAAAGACAAGCGACGCCGCCCCGTGCTGCTGCAGCAGCTGAGCCATCAGGACAATATCCCAAGGCCCTGCCACGTGGCCTCTCCTGATTGGACTAAAGTCCGCCTGCTGCTGCGTGCGTAGAGGCAGGCGCAGCACCGTGGTCTCGTCCCAGAGAGAGGCGGAGGAGGCGGAGGAGTGAGAGGGGTGAGAAGAGTGAGAGGAGTGAGAGGAGGAAGAGGAGGAGGAAGCGGCAAAGATGAGGGGTTGGAACTGGTCAGGAAAGCGGTTGATGAAGCTTGAGGAGCCCGAGCCTGGACGAGCAAGAGAGGTAACGGAAGTGGGTAACAGAGAAGTCTGAAGTATGATACTGTATGGGGAAATGGGCAAACACTAAAAGATGACGAGGCTGACGTGGCTGAAAGATTCGCCATTCAAGCAAGCAACAAGCACAGCACGCACAGAACAGGCCAAAAAAAAGAGAGAAAAAAAGTGAGAGAAAAACCCGTGACCGAAGTGGTGATACCTTTGAGGGAAAAGGCTCGAGCAACAGGAGCAGCCATGTCATCCCCTCCTCCTCTCCTCCTCGATCCACCAGGCGACCCTGACGAGCCACGAGCAGCAGACAAACCACCACTACCACCACTACCAGCTACAGCAGCACCACCACCAGCCGAACCGGAGAAGAGATGATGGCCCGAGGGGTCAAAGGCGTAGAGGAAGCTTCCTGAGACTATCAAGGGGAGGTCTGAGAGGTGGTATGCTCCCAGCAGACCAGTGCCGTAGCGACACGTGGCGTCACGGAGGCGGATGGGGGGAGGCGTGTGCAGGTGGCAAATGTCTTCTGAGGTGAGCTGGGCCCCGTGGAAGAGGATGGTCAATGAGGGGCCTTGGAACTGACCTGTAGGAGGGTGAGAGAGAGAGTATGGGAGAGAAGCAAACGTTATAGTGAGGTGCGGATGGGTGAGGATGGGCAGGGAGGGGGGGGGGGGGCGTGTGCAGGTGGCAGATGTCCTCTGATGTGAGCTTTTGAGGCGCCTCAAAAGTCCTCTGAGGTGAGCTGGGCCCCACGGAAAAGAATGGTGAGCGAGGGGCCCTTGAATTGACCTGCAGGGATGAGTGAGAGAGGGGGGATGTGACAGGGCAAGGAGAGAAGAGCAGGGGTTGAAAGAGAGGGTGAGGAGAGACGTGTGCAGGTGGCAAATGTCCTCGGACATGAACTGGACTCTGTGGAAAAGGATCATCAATGGGTTCAGGGTTTAGGGTCTGGTCCCACACAAAACTCCACTCCACTCCACTCCACTCCACTCCACTCCACTCCACTCCACTCCACTCCACTCCACTCCACTCCACTCCACCCACATCTCCACAACAACTTGTTGAGTCGACTCAAAAACCAAAAGAACTCCACATATCCACAACAACCACATGCACACATCTTTCTGACGCCTATGATTCTTTCTTAACCCCATGTACCCAGGCTGGGTTGCAAAACGGAAATCTCTGGGTGGCGCCGCTGGTCCCACACGAACTCCACCCATGGGGCACCACACATATGTGCATACCATACCATACCATACCATACCATACCGTACCATACCATACCATACCATACCATACCGTACCGTACCGTACCGTACCGTACCGTACCGTACCGTACCGTACCGTACCGTACCGTACCGTACCGTACCGTACCGTACCGTACCGTACCGTACCGTACCGTACCGTACCGTACCGTACCGTACCGTACCGTACCATACAGGCACGCCTTCCCTCAACCAGCCAGAACGTACCCAGGTTGGGTTGCAAAAGGGAGATCTCTGGATGGTGCCGCTGGTCCCACACGAACTCCACTCCGCGAGCGCCACACGCATCTGCCACCTCCAGAAGATCAAAGAGCAGCAGATGGGCGTCTGCTGCCCAGCCTTCGAGGAGCTCCGATATCACCACCGCTGGAGGGGAGGTTGGGGAAGAGAAAAAAAAGGCAAGACAGAAATTAGTCCACTCCCCGAGCGCCACACGCATCTGCCACCTCCAGCAGGTCAAAGAGCAGCAGGTGGGCGTCTGCTGCCCAGCTCTCTAGCGAATCCGATATCACCACCGCAGGATTTAGGCCACAGCCACTCCACTCAACCCTGTGGGCGCCACACGCATCTGCCACCTCCAGCAGGTGAAAGAGCAGCAGGTGGGCGTCCGCTGCCCAGCGCTCTAAGAGCTCCGATATCACCACCGATGAGAGCAGGAAGGGGAGACGACGAAGGGAGGGGAAGAGAGGAAGGGAGAAAAGCAAGGCAGGATTTAGGCCACTCCAATCCACCCTGTGGGCGCCACACGCATCTGCTACCTCTAGAAAGTCAAAGAGCAGCAGGTGGGCGTCCGCTAGATGGGTGGGACGGGGAAGAGGAGGGATGCGGAGAGAAGAAGGTGAAGAGGCAAGGCAGAAAGAAACTGGTCCCACATGAATTCCAATCCTGTGGGCGCCACACGCATCTGCCACCACCAGAAGATCAAAGAGCAGCAGGTGGGCGTCTGCTGCCCAGTTTTCTAAGAGCTCCGATATCACCACCACTGGAGGCAGAGTGGATAGGGGAGAGGAGAGGAGCGGAAGAGGAGGAAACGAGGAACAGCAATTTCTGAGGCGCTTAAAAGCGAGGTGGCAGCATAGGGGCCGCCGTAGGAAAGAGCCCCCTGAAAGAACTTGAGTCAGGGCACTCCGATATGGTGTGAGTGAGGCACATGGTTTCTGCACAAATTACCTACCTAGATTTATCAGCAGCGCAATTGGAAACTTACCAGGAAGACAAGGCAGGGAGGTGGCGGCAGAGGGACCGTCCAAAGACAGCCCTCTGAGGGAGCGCGCGCCAAGACGCTCCGCTATGGCGTGCGGCACGTCAGGATGCACAAAGCGGCTCCGACCATCCACGGTTGCTGCGAGAGGAGAGAAAAGGGAAAGTGGAGAGTTATCAGAGGATTGCCTAGGATTCTCAGTAGTTTCTTGCGAGCCAAGGCACTCTCTGCTATGGCGTGCGGCACGGTGAGGTGCACACAAAGCGATTCTGACCATCCAAGGTTGCTGGACAAGGATGTGATTGCTTATAACAAAAACAGGAAACGTGTGAGGAAAGCATTTGACATCAACATGGGTGGTATGCAATGCGGAAACGTAGACCCTGTGGAAAACCGCCCACCCTTGGCTGACTGACGGCCACAATGTGTCATCCACCGCCAGAAGACCAACCCAATTTCATCAAGTGTCCGCCTCATGTAACAACCCATGCCTACCTTTACCGAGCCACGCAGCATCGTTAAAAATCAGCTCCCGAGCCGCAACCAGGCCTCCTGAAGCCTCTGGCACCAGGACCGTGCCGGCCAATGGCGGCTCACCACTTGGCGGCAGCGCATCCACTATGGCCTCCAAAACCCTAAGCACGAATGAGAACTGGTCCGGAGATAAAACCCCAGCTTTGCCTCCTCCTGCTTCTCCCCCTCCTCCCCCCGGACCTCCTCTTGCTCCAGCAGCTCCCCGAACCTCTCCTGAACCTCCGCCGAGCCTCCGGTCCCGCCACTCCAGGTCTCTTTTCAGGTGGGCTAGCGCCTGCGCGTAATCCCCCACCTGGAACGTCTCCCTGACGCCGAGTGACGTCAGCAGAGTGCGGAAGCGGGCGGCTTCTGTCGGCACGACGTGGAGGTAGGGGTGGAAGTGGGCGGGCGAGTCAAAGGCGAGGGAGGAAGGTGCGATGAAGGTGTCGCCGACCCAAATGCAGGCCACTGATTGGAAGGAGGTCCGGGCGGCAGAAAAAGACGGCGAGCCCATGTGCTGCTCCAGATACGCGTAAATTCTCGGGACTTCTTTTGATAAGATTCGTTCTAGCACTGTCACCTCATCCTCCTCCTCTTCCTCCTCCTCCTCCTCCTCCTCCTCATCCAACTCTCCCTCCTCTATTTTTCCTTCCTTATCCTCTCCCTCCTTCGTTCTCTCTCTCTCACCTTCCCCCTCCCCTCCAACCGCCTCCCCTCTCCTCCCTTCCACCTTCCCACTCCTTACCCCCCTCCTCTCCCCTCTCCTCACCCCGCTCCTCTCCCCTCTCCTCTCCCCTCGCTCCTCCCGCCCCCTCCGCTCCGCCACAGCGCACCCGTGCAGAGCAGCCAGAGCCAGCAGCTGAGACACCAGAGCCTCTACAGGCGGGGGGTTCCGCCACCCCAGCTTGCGCGCCAGGCTGTCCGACCGCACTTCGCCGCCCAGAATGCACATGCTGCCGCCCACCACCCACACGTCGTCCTGCAGACGGACGGCGCAGGGCGGCATGAACCCGGACGGACTGCCCTTCCAGGGCGGCTGGATGGAGCTGCTGCCGCCACTGCTGCTGCTGCCGGTGCCAGTGCCAATGCTGCTGCTGATGCCACCGCTGCTGGCTCCACTAGCAGAGATGGTGCTGTGGGTGATGCTGTGGGTGGCGCTGTGGGTGGCGCTGTGATCATTGGTGGACCAGGGAATAGCAAGGGCGGAATCGGGTGGTCTCTGCAGCACAGGGCACCAGGAGATGCCCTTCAGCTCCTCCCAGAAGGCATCCTCGGGAATATCCTCCTCCTCAACTCCACCACCACCACTCCTGCTACCTATAAGGCCGCTGCTGCTACTGCTGCCTCCACTGCTGCCGTTGCTGCTACTGCTGTTGCCACCAGCTGTGCCACCACCAGCACTCAGACCCCTATGCTTCCCCACAACAGCCGCATCTCCATCCTCTCCACTAAATCCCCGGGCAGCAAAGCCGCCCAGAGCACCCAATCTCGACCAATCACCACCGCCTTCCCAAAACCCATCATCAAGCCCACCACCATCACCACCGCCATCACCACCCCTACTCCCCTCCCACACTCCACCTTCCCCTCTCCCTCCCCTTCCCCCAACCCCACCCTGCCCCTCCTCCTCCTCGCCCTCTCCCCTCCCTCCGCCAAGGCTCCTCCACTGATCTTCCGCCACCTGGCGCGCATCCATATGCGCCAGCAAGGCACGCGCTCGCGCCAAGATCTCACCACGATGACTAACTGACTGATCAAAATCAGAACCACCCCTTCCTGCTGCTGCTGCACCCTGCCTTGTCGTCACTGCACCCTGTGCCTCGCCACCCACTCTGCAAGCCTCTTGGATTGACCGGGCAGAGGCAAGCAGGGCGCGGCGGTCAACAGTGGTGCGGAGGCCGAGAGAGAGGAGCGCGGGGAGGAGGGTGGGGGAGGAGAAGGGTGGTGCTGGGAAGAAGAGAGAGGCATCGAGGAGAGATGTGAGATCCGGCACCCGCGGGTCGTAGAGACTGCAACGGGTTGAAAAGGGGGACAAGGAGGGGGGGGAGGATAAAAAAGTTTAGTCTCTGTCAACCATGATCCACTTTTCACCCCCACTGCGGCAAGCCTCTTGCATTGCCCTGGCGGTGGCAAGAAAGGCTCTGCAGTCGAGGGGGAGGATGGTGGGGAGGAAGGAGGGGGGGGGGGGAGAAGGGCGGTGCTGGAAGAATAGCGAGCGTCGAGGAGAGACGTGAGATCAGGCACCCGCGGGTCGTAGAGACTGCAGGAGGGGGAGAGAGGGAGGGTGAAGGGAGGAAAAGAAAAGAGACGTCCCAGCCACCTACCTGACCAGGCAGAGGCGAAGGGCAGCTTTCTTCCTCAACCCCGCCACCATAGGTGTGGTGCACCGCTCTTCACTCAAGAAACGCTTTATGGAACCGAACTCAACTTAGTCTGTTGATGTCAGTGCCAAGATTTTGAACACTTGCAATGTCCACCACACTTGCAGAGGGCCTTGAGCAGCCCGGAGTGGGTGGGCAGGCAGGAATGGCAGTCCAAATTAAAAGGCTTTAAGAGCTCCTTCTCCCCCCCCAAAATCACCCACACACTCACCTACAAAAGCCTTGAGCTGAGGGGGTGGGCAGGAACGGCAGCATGCTATATTGAAATCACTTTAGAGAATTCCCAAAAGTGATTTCAATAGGGCAGGAATGGCAGCTGCTGAGCTCTGCTCCGCCAGCAGCCTCTCATCCTCCTCTGCCAGCCGAGGCAGCTCCCTCACCACCGCCACCATCACTGCCCTGCCTGCCGCTGCCCTGAACCATGGCATTATTTGCCACCTAGCCTTTACCACTCCTGTTCAACTCACTTTGGTCTAGTGTATAAGCCAAAACACAAAACATGCCTGAAGTCGCCCGCTCACTCACCTGCAGGGGGCCTTGAGCAAGCCAGAATGGGTGGGCAGGAAGGGCAGCCTGCTGAGCTCCGCTACAATCTGCTCGTCCTCCTCTGCCAGCCGCGGCAGGTCCCTGCTGTGCCCACCTTTCTACCAAAAAAAGAACACACCTGAAATCTCCACTCACCTGCAGGGGGCCTTGAGCAAGCCAGAACGGGTGGGCAGGAAGGGCAGCCTGCTGAGCTCCTTCACAATCCGCTCATCCTCCTCTGCCAGCCGAGGCAGGTCCCTCACCACCGCCACCATCGCTGCTGTTCCCGCCTCTCCACTTAACGGCACCACTGCTGATCCCTTCACCCCTCCCCTTGCTGCTGCTGCAGCTGCTGTTGCTGCTGCTGCAGCGGCGCCAGCAATACCAGCAGCAGGAGTGGCGGTGGCAGCAGCAGCAGCAGTGGCAGCGGCAGCAGCAGCGGCGGCACGGATGCGAGGGAAGAGGTGGTTCAGATAAAACGCAGTTCGTGAAATCGAGGAGACCGCCAGGTGGCAGCGCAGGATTCGGTGGTCCTTGTCCGAGTCCACGCGGACGAATGAGGCGTCGAGAAGCGACTCGTCGATGGATGGCGGGGCGAAGAAGCGGGGAGCCGTGAGCAGATCCACAAACACTCGCCCAGCGGAGAGGCCAGCAGGGAGGCCAGCGGAGACGCCAGCGGAGAGGCCAGCGGAGAGGCCAGCACCACCATCCCCTTCCTGTTTCTGAGTTTGAGGTGCATCTGACGGGATTTCAGCGGCCGACCAGGTGCCGTAAGACTCGAAGATTGGCAGAGCTCGCAGCATGCTGATGTGGCGCTCTGAGAGAACGCCACCTGGATGCGACGGAGCGGGTTCTGACACGTGCTTGAGGCCTCTGGACAGGCCAAAAGCATGTGAAACTACCATTCCAGCAGCAGCAGATGATTCAGATGGACCATCTGTCGGGGGGAACCACTTGGACTGGCACAGGATGCTGCGAAGCTCTCTCCTCTCCCCGTCCGTTGCTCCCTGGAAGAGCAAGAGGAGAGACTCAAGATGCGGCACCTGAGCTGCTGCTGCTGCAGCAGAAGCAGAGGATGCTGGCTGGTTGGCTGCTGTTGCTGCTGCAAGGTCAACGGATGCAGCTAGACCTACCCCATATGAACCTGCTCCTACTCCTCCTCCTGTCCCTAGACCCATTCCTGCTGCACGCCTGGTGGATCCCATGCCCTGTCGGGACGCAACCGCATTGGCAGCAGAAGCAGAAGCAGCACAGTTGGCAGCAGCAGCAGCAATGGCGTCGAGAATCCCAGCAGCAGAGGCCTCGTGAAGATACTCCGTCAGGCCCGGATGCTCGAGATTCACATCACTGCGCACCACGTACACGCCCAGGCGCGCAAACAGAGACAGCATGTTCTCGCTCCACCCGTCCCCTCCCCCCGGACGCAGTAGAGGACCCCCTGCCTGCAGCTGCCGGAGTTGCCCATTGGTGGTTGGCACGAGCGGCCAATCAGCAATGAGCGACAGGCTGGCGTGGGATGGATGGGGGAGAGATGGAGTGGAGGAGGGAAGGGAGGGAACAGGAGGGGAAACAACGGAGGAAGTGGTGGTGGGAGCGTGAGAATCAGTGGTGGTGGGAGGGGAGGAGGAGGTGGAGGAGGAGGAAGAGAGGTAGCTCCAGAACTGTTGAATCCATTCCAGAGACGGGCCTTCGGACTCCAAGAACTCAACACCCTCCACTTCAAATCCTACTCCTGCTGTTGCTGCGGTCACAGCTGCAGCTCCTTCTCCCTCCCCTTCCTCCTCCCCCTCTCCGTCCCCCTCCCCCACTCCCCTTCTCCCTCTCCCTCTCTCTCCCTCTCCCGCCCCACCACGCCAGGCAACAAACGCCAGTCCGCGCCACGACTCCGGCAGCAGCAGCGGCATCAGCTCAGCCAGCACAGGCACCGACACCACCGCCAGATTCACCCCTGCACCCGCCCTTTCCCTGCGCCTCTGCTGCTCCTTCTGCTGCTGTTTTTGCCCCTGCTGAGTCTCGTTCAGAAACCCTAGCACCTCCCCCACGTCCATCCCCCCTCCAGCAGCACCAGCAGCCGTAGCAATCCCTATCCCACCCGCCTTCCCGCCCAGCTCCTCCCCTTCCCCCTCCCCATCCCCCTCCTCCCACCACCCTGCCATGGCCTGCAGCTTCCCCCACGCCTCGCCCTGCTCTGCTGCCAGCTGTCGATCCACCAGCAGGTGGGCGGCACTGGGCAGCAGCAAAGAAAACTCTGCCTCGTTCCGGGTCACGATCAGCCTCACCACCCCCCCACTACCAAAGCTGCTGCCTCCGATACTACCTGCTGTTCCAAATCCAGCCCTGCTGCTGCTGCTGGTGGCCTTGGCTCGTGGGTCCCACTGCTTCATCATCCCAGCGCTCCAATGCCCACCCATCACACCACCTGTCATCAACCCTCCCCTCCTGCTGCCACTGGCGCTTGATCGGTCGATCTTGGAAAACGCGCCCACAGTGCCGTTGGCAAGAGGGATGAGTGGGAGGCCTGGAAGCTTCTCCGCAGCTTCTTCCACGTCCACGTCGCTCAGGCAGTAGTTCAGCGCCAAGCCCACGTCCGGGCAGGTTGAAAGAATCTGCCTGCCCGAGCCAATCAGAGTCTTTCTAAGGAGCACTGGAGTCAGGAACCTGAGCTGGGGGCAGGCTGAGCGAAACCTTTCCACCACTGGAAACGGAGCGTCTGCCAACGGGAGGCCTGCCCGGACCAGAATATTTGCAAGATCTTCCATTTTTGGGTAGTTTGTGTCTGCAAAAACTGCCCGTTTTGGAGGAATCCACCTGCCTCCAGCTGCCCCTGTCCAGATAACACCCAGATCGAGCTCAGTCACGCACACATACACCCGATTCGCCAACGATTCCCAAGGCTCCACCAGCTCTCCCCGAACCTGCCTCCGAACCACATCCGACCCAGAATCCACACCCGAACGGAACCCCGAGCCTGCGCCTGCCCCGGGCCAGAGAGCATGGTACGCAGGCCCGTGCCCAAGCTGCTTGGTAGCTTTGGCAAGCATCCGAGAATACGCCGGAGCTGCGACGTCCTCCAGGAGCCGCCGGTTCCATTCGGACCGAACCTTGCCCGCACCTGCCAGGTCGTCGCCGAACCAGATGTCTCGGCGGTTGGAGGAGAGCTCAAAGTAACCGTTGACATGCACTGGGAGATTCGTTTTCACCGGGAGGGGCAGGAAGCAGAAAGCTCTTCCTTGCAGCCGCGTCCCTTCCATAACCGTACCATCGGACCTGCCCCTTACTCCACCTGATTCGCTCTTCTCTTCTTGTGGGTTATCAACCCCTTCTCTCCCTTCTTTGCTTTCCTCCGTTTCTTCCCCCACTCCCATCAGATTCACAAGTCCAGTGTTCCCCTCCTCTTCCCACTGAATAAGACAAGCGACGCCGGCCCAAGGCAAGAACCCTCTCGGCCTGTTCTCCACTGCTACAGCCCACTCCCTCGCCCGGCCCCCGCCCAGCGCGTTCGACACGAGCCAATCAGAAGCCGCCACGTGTCCCGTTCCATCAGTCACTAAAATCGATATCCGCCCGCATTGCCTCGGCAGTTGCCCTTCAGCTGCCCGCTGCAGCTTGTGGTAAAACTGGTCCTTATTCAGAGGATTTTGCGGGCTGCCCCGAACAAAATCGAAAATGGCCCGCTGCAAACTGCCCCCATCGGCCACATTCCCCAAGGCTCTCAGTCCCGTTCCTGGCGACGGCAGTGCAGAAACAAAAGGCATTCCGGATGCCCCTCCCTCACCAGCAACCACTCTCTGTGCACAGAACAGCAGCTTCGGCTCACTCCCCGCATCTATTCTCTCGAAAACCGAAATCCGCCCCACGTTTCTCAGGAACAGCAGCGCTTCTGTGGCCGAACGCTGGAAGGATTTGAACAGCTGCCGGATATCCTCAGGGGTGCACGGCTCGTGCTTTATCTCACTCCGACCCGCCGCAGCTTCGGACCGAAGCGGGAACCGGAACAGCGTGCCGTGGTACGGGGACTGCAGGTCACACCCAAACAGGAGGAACGGGCGGAACTGGTCCGGGAACTGGTCCGGGAGGCCGCGGCCGACGAAGCTGATCTTCAGGCCCGGATGAGAGGGAGTGATTCCCGGCAGGTTCGATGCGTGCGGGTCGAAAATCACCAGATTCTGCCCGGAAACGAACCCTGGGACGTCAGTGAAATGGTAGACTGAGTTGAAACCGAGCCCGAACCGACCAATAGCACTGGGCTTCTCCAGCTTGCTATCCTGCCCGATGCGCGAAATCGCAATCAAATCGCGATCTGAAAACACAGCATCGTTGTATGCATATAAAGACGGCCCTTGCCAGTCAGCCATTCGCGGGCTGAGCACCGAAGAGGCCCCGAATCGGGAGTGATCGAGCAGAAACGCCGCTTCCCTCGCCCCTGCATCATCTGCATTCTGCACCAACTCGCACAGCACCCCCGGCCCTTCCGGATACATCTCCACTATGTGCTTCAAACGAGTGGTCAGCGCCTCGTGCTGCCCGAACGCCTCCACTCCATCCCCGTTAGAAGCAGCTCCGGTAGAAGCAGCTAGGGATGTGGGGGATAAGAGGGAGGAGGCGGAGGCGTGGAGGGAGAGAGCCATGGAAGCAGCTCCGCTGTCCAATAGGAGTTGTCGGCGCAAGGATCGGACACCGAGCCTGTCCGCCACGTCGTTCGAGATCTTGGCGTGGACGAACCGAACCTGGAGGGTAGGTTCGGACAGTGCAGCCGAGCCTGGGTGGCTGCTTGGAAAGCCCGGTTCGGCTGCAGAGGCATGATGAGCGGAGGAGGGAGTGGAAGTGGCAGGGGAGGAGGGAGCGGGGGAAGGAGCGGAGGAAGGGGAGGAGGGAGGAGAGTGGGGAGTGGAGCGCATGAACTGGGGTAGCCAGGGAGCATCGTTGTACACGAGCTCACATGCATGCACTAGAATGCCCTGCGCGTCTGGTACATACACCATCCCCCCTCCTCTCCCTCCCCCTCCTCCTCCCCTCACAACCCCCACTCCCTCTCCTCCCCCTCCTCCTTCGCCCCCACCTCCACCCCCGCCCCCCACGCCTCCCCCGCCCGCCGCCCCGGAATCAAACTGCAGATCCGCCAGATGCTGCACCAGCCACACAGCAGCTGCCAGCTGGCGCGGCGCGAGCGGGCGGCCTTGCGCGTCTTTAGCAATGCTCGCAAGAACAGCGGCGTATTCGTTCCCTGAGAGGCACTCGCGCACCCCGAGGGCGAGCAGGAGGTCTCGGAAGGCGGCAAGGTCGGTGGGGATGATGCGGAGGTAGGGAGCGAGGTGGATGGGTCCCGTAAATGCACATTCAGATGTGGAACAAAAACCGTCCCCCACCCACACCCAGCGACAACCCTGGAGGTGGGGGTTGGGGGGTTCAAGGCAGAGGAAGGAAGGCAAGGGGGAACAGACGGGAAAAAGAGAGAAGAAAGTTGATGGGGAAGTTAGACATGCGAGAGGCACTCGCGCACCCCGACGGCGAGAAGAGGAGGAGGTCTTTGGAAGGCAGCAAGGTCGGCGGGGATGATGCACAGGTAGGGGGCGAAGTGGATGGGACCGGTAAAGACACATTCTAATTTTGAGTCGACTCAAAGGGGGCGAGGTGGATGGGACCGGTAAAGACACATTCTGATTTTGAGTCGACTCAAAGGGGGCGAAGTGGATGGGACCGGTAAAGGCACATTCTGATTTTGAGTCGACTCAAAGGGGGCGAGGTGGATGGGACCGGTAAAGGCACATTCTGATTTTGAGTCGACTCAAAGGGGGCGAGGTGGATGGGACCGGTAAAGGCACATTCTGATTTTGAGTCGACTCAAAGGGGGCGAGATGGATGGGACCGGTAAAGGCACATTCTGATTTTGAGTCGACTCAAAGGGGGCGAGGTGGATGGGACCGGTAAAGACACATTCTGATTTTGAGTCGACTCAAAGGGGGCGAGGTGGATGGGACCGGTAAAGGCACATTCTGACGTGGAGCAGAAACCGTCGCCCACCCACACCCACCTGCAACCCTGTTTCACTCAAGAACGAGAGAGAAAACGGAGGGGAAAAGGGGTGTGAGGGAGTAGAAGGGTTGATGAGTGGTCGGCTCGGCGGGGATGATGCAGAGTTGGCCGAAGCCGGTGAAGGCACATTCGGTGGTGGAGCAGAAACCGTCTCCCACCCACACCCACCTGCAACCCTGGGGGAGTGGCACAGGGAGAGGAGAAGGGCACACAGCAAATAACAGGATGATTATTGTCCAGGCGCCCATGTATATCCTTGGCTCGGCACTGCCTCCCTCAGAGCAGAGCAGAGCCTTCCTCACACCCCTGTCCGCCTTTTCGCAGCGCCTCAGAAATGGAAGAAGCATGCTAAACAAGAAGCATGTCCGACAGCATCGTGTATATCCTCGGCACTGCCCCTGCCAGGGCCTTCCCCGCGCCCTTGTCCGCCACCTCCGCACCACACACACGCCCCAGCTCCAGCAGCTAAAGAAGTGAATGAATTGCTGCACAAGGGCTTGTTGAAAGAACCACTCACCTTGACAAGTTCTCACATCGACACGACAATCACTCACCTCGAGAATCGCCTTGACCACCTCCATCTCCTCCTGTCCCAGCATGTCCGACAGCATCGTGTATATCCTTGGCACCGCCCCTGCCAGGGCCTTCCCCGCGCCCTTGTCCGCCACCTCCGCACCACACACACGCCCCAGCTCCAGCAGCTGTGCCGCCAGCACACTCCCCGTCAGCGGCCGCGCCCATCCTAGCTGACGCCACATCAGCGTGGACCGGCACTCGCCGTCAAGGATCCGGAGGCTGGCTGACGCAAGCCAGGTGTCGACCTGTGGGCGGACGATACGAGGAGGAGCGACGGGGCTCGGCCGTGACTCATCTGCTCTCACTCTGTCCCTCCCTGTACCTCCTGTCCCGCCTGATACTCTTTCTTCTTCGTTACTTGCATTCTCGTCCCCGCCCCCAGGCCATGGCAGGAAGGGCGGGGCAGGGGAGCAGACAAGCACAGGGCACCAGGAGATCGAGGTCAGCACGTTCCAAAACGAGGCCATTTCAGCTGCTGCGCGCTGAGCCTCCTCTGCTGCTTCACTGCTCTGAAACAGACTGGATACACGAGCGAACATCCCCGCGCCTGCTCCTCCCCCTCCTCCGCCGCCCCCCATGCCCCTTCTACCCCCCCCCACTCCCCCCGCCCCGGCACTCCCCCCCTGCGCCACAGGCACCCATCTCGCCGCGTTCACATCCAGATAGGACAAAAGAACCCGCCCGCGCTCCCGTGCTACAGCCGCGTCTGTAGCGGCAATGCTCTCCACAGCGCGCGCACAGCTGAGAATCGTTTCGGTAGTAACCGCACTGCGGAGCCCCACGCTGAGTAGCATCTCAAGCGCAGAAGAGGACGAAAACGGGGCGGCAGGGAACCAGTTGCCGGCCATTCCTTGCAGCAAGTGGCAGAGCTCTGGGTTGCGAGAATCGTACAGATCCACTGGGCGGCAAAGCGTCTCATTTCCTATATCCGTATCTATCTCAGCTGCACCTGCCGCCCCTGCCCCTCCTGCTGCTCCTCCTGCAAATCCTCCTGCTACATTCCCTCCCTCCACTTCCTCATGCTGCTGCAATTTCTGTTGCCGCCCATCCCCTTTGCCATCCCACGCAGGCACAAACGCCAAATTCGCCACCACATCTCGCAACCCCGGATCCACAGTGCACAGCTGCGGCAGCTCCTGCAGCACGGCAAGCATCGTCCTGTTCCGAAGCCCGGGCGGCAGCGCTTGGACTCTAGCGAGCACCTGCATCTTGAAAAAAGCCGGGCGGGGGAGCGTGGGGATGGCTAGGGCGCGGGAGAGCACTGCAGCCTCTCGGTCGTCTGAGGGGCAGAGGAAGGACTCGCCTAGCAGGGCTGGCTCCACCCCTGAGGGAGCGAGATAGCGTTGAATGGAGGGGGATGAGAGGTCAACAAAGAGAGGAAGGGAGGAATGGATGGTGGTGGGGGTGGCGCTGCCTGTGGTGCTTCCGCTGCTGCTGCTGCTGTTGCTGCTGCCGATCCTGCTGGTACCAGTGGTGCTGCTCGTTGTGGTGGTGGTGCCGCTGCTGGTGGTGCCGGTGGTGGTGGAAGAGTGGTTGCTGTAGACCTCAAAGATGGGCAGAGATTTGAAGATGCGCACGCGCCGAGCCTCCGTCATTGCATTCCCAGCGTACCACTGCGGCGAGCACAGGAACTCCCGAAGCTGCCGCCGAGCCTCGACCGCAGCCTCGGACAACAAACCACCCGAAGCTGTCCTACCAGCCGGGGCAGCCACACCAGCAGCACCACCAGCAGCACCAGCAGCAGCACCACCACCACCAGCAGCAGCAGCAGCAGCAGCAGAGGTACCACTATCAAGAGCAGCCTCTGCCATTTGGAAGAGCGTGGCAAAGGGCACACCATGCCAGTCAGCTGCGGACTGCAGTGCATCCAGCACACCTGCCCCTGTGGCTGGCCGCACAAACTCGCGCAAACTCGGATGCGCCACCTGCAGAGCCTCCCCCTTCATACCTCCCCCCTCTCCCCCCGCATGCTCCACCCCGTCAGCACCAGAGGGGAGTTTCCTCCAGAGAATACGGCACCCCAGCCTCACCAGCAACCCGGAAATTGCATGGAAACCGCCACCTGCTGACAAAACCCGCCCCTTCCCCTCGCCCTCTTGCTTTCTCTCCTTCCCTTCCCCCTCCTCCCCCTCCACCCCCTCCTCCTCTTCCTCTACCAGAATCACCCTAGACCGCCCCTTTTCCAGCGCACACAGTGTCTTCTGTTTCGTCGGCAGCAGCGGCCAACCGGAAAACGCTGTCAGATCCTTACAGCTGGCAGCCAGATACTGCCAAAGGAGGCCGACCCACCGCACAGATGGCGGCGCAACAGCCGCTGCAAGGGCGCGCTTCCCCGAACCAGCAGGTTCGGAGACGCTGCCGAACCAGGGGACCTCGTCCTGTCCGAACCAGTCGGGGGGGAGCAGGGACTGGAGCAGGCGGAGGAGGAGTGAGGGAGTGAGTGGGGAGAGATTGCCTGCGGAGGGAGAGAGTGCGATGTTCCTCAGGCGCTCATACACATCCTCCCTCACACCCATTAGGTCCACTACTCTCCCTCCCGCCCTCTCCTTTAGCAGCTCATACTCCACACTCTTCCTCCCCTTCCACCTCTCCCCTCCCTCCCCTCCTCCTCCTCCTCCTCCTCCTCCTCCTCCCCTCTCCCCCTCCCCTCCTCTCTCCCACGCAGCCACTACTATCTCTCTCCCAATCGTCCCCACCCTCTCAAACCTCCCCAGACTCTGATTTGCCAGAGGAACCAGCGAAAGCCCATCTAACTCCTCTGCTGCTTCAACATCTATCACGTCCCCTAGACAATACTCCAACAGCAGTAACGCATTCTCCCTGTTCTCCAATCCCCTGTGGACACCTGGCGCTCTCAGCCTCGCCCGAACCACGCTAGGCACGGTGATTCTAGGCTCGGAAACGGACCACCGGAAGAGCATCTCCCGGAGGTTCGGCGAGACCCGGACGATCGGGAGGCCCTCCCGAACCAGAGCTAGCTCCAAGCCATCTGGGTCGCGGAATTCCTCATCACTGAACACAGCAGTGGTAGGAGATACCCAGCTTCCATCCCCTTTATAAGCTGCTTCGACCTTTGATCCTCCAACCCTCACCCTGAGAGCAGCACTACCAGCAGCAACAGCAGCACCAGTCAAAGGAGCACCAGCACCAGCTCCACTTGCCCCAACCCCAGCTAGTAACTCCTGAGGGCCTCTTGAATACAAAACGGGCAGCTTTGCAAAACTTTTGTACAGCTGCCCGACCATCCCAAGCCAGGGCTCCGAGGTGGGGCCTGCGGGAAACAGTCCAAAATACTCCGGCCGCGGCCCGATTCGCCGGGCGGCTTCGAGAATCAAATCCAGGTATGCCGGGGCGGCAACGAGCTGCAGCAGGGCGGCGTTCCACTGGGAGCGGAGGCGGCCTGCTCTGTCCATATCCTCGCCGAACCAGATGTCTCGGCGGTTGGAAGAGAGCTCAAAGTAGCCGTTGATATGCACTGGGAGGTTGGGACGCACTGGCAGAGGCAGGAAGCAGAATGCCCGACCCTGAAATGGGGATGATGACAGTCAGAAGGCAGAACGAGGTGGAAGCAGGAAGCAAATGGGCGGCTCTGAAGAAAGAGGAGAAGCAGCAAGGGGGGTACAACAGGGGGGAAGCGGGGGGAGGAAGCCGGAGGAAACAATGGGCAAAATCACGAGTACATAGAGCCTCGTGTCATGGCTTTTGAGGCTCCTCAATAGTGCGTAGAGCCATATGGCAGCCAGGGCACGTGAAAATCAAACCCACTCTGGTGTGTCTCCGTCAAAATCCACTCTAGCAGCCACAGACGCCCATGGCACCAGGTGAATATCATACTCCTCCGCTGCTCGCCTCACCATGCCACATTCATTCTCACCTGGAAAGAGGACACTGGTGCTCCCGCCGCGTTTGTGTCTCCGTCACAATCCACTCTAGCAGCCACAGACGCCCATGGCACCAGGTGAATATCATACTCCTCCGCTGCTCGCCTTGCCATGCGCCCCACCGTCCCCAGCGCCGCTCCCATCCTCTGCGACACAAAATACAGCTCCTCTCTCCTCCCTCTGCCCTTCTCACTCCCCCCAACCGCCTCCTCTCTTCTCCCAGCAGCACCTTCGGCATCCTTCCCTTCTCTCTTCCCCTGGGAAAACGACTCGCACACAAACCCAATTTCGTAGAAATCTGCACTATCTTTTTCACTTGCAACCGCCCCTGCCCCTGCTCCCCCTCCAGAAGCCCCAGGAGCACCAGCAGCAGCAGCAGGGCGGGCGAGGCGGGAGAAGGCTTGGCGGTGGAAGCGGAGGGAGGAGTCGGGGGAGGTGATGCGGCAGGAGAAGAGAGGCACGGGGGCGGTGGCGCCCTGATGCCACTCCAACACATCCACACGGTCCACGTGCTTCAGGAAGAGCAGTGAGGAGACTGCCTCGGCCTGGAATACAAGCCCACAGGGGAAGTGAGTATAGGGAGGAAGTGAAGGAAGCGGGTATTGAGAACACTCCTTCCCTGATGCCACTCCAACACGTCCACCCGCTCCACATGCTTGAGGAAGAGCAGTGAGGTAACCGCCTCGACCTACAAGGAGGAGGGTGGGAGGGAGGGAGGGTGAGGTGGATAAGGGCACAACTTTCCCTGATGCCACTCCAGCACTTCCACTCGCTCCACGTGCTTGAGGAGAGCAGTGAGGAGACTGCCTCGGCCTGGGAAGACAGGGAACGCGAGTATGAAGAAGAAGGGAAGAAAGAAGGCATTAAGAACACCCTCAACAGAGCAGCCACGTTAGCGGCATCGTACGCCTGCCTTGACAGCTTCCTCACCTGCGAGCACCTGTTTCTCCGTCTGGAGCGGGAACCGAAAGAGCGTCGTGTAGAGAGGGTGTTTTTGAGACGTCTCAAAAGCACCTGCTCCTCCGTCTGGAGCAGGAACCGAAACAGCGTCGTGTAGAGAGGGTGTTTTTGAGACGTCTCAAAAGCACCTGCTCCTCCGTCTGGAGCGGGAACCGAAAGAGCGTCGTGTAGAGAGGGTGTTTTTGAGACGTCTCAAAAGCACCTGCTCCTCCGTCTGGAGCGGGAACCGAAACAGCGTCGTGTAGAAAGGGTGTTTTTGAGACGTCTCAAAAGCACCTGCTCCTCCGTCTGGAGCGGGAACCGAAAGAGCGTCGTGTAGAGAGGGTGTTTTTGAGACGTCTCAAAAGCACCTGCTCCTCCGTCTGGAGCGGGAACCGAAACAGCGTCGTGTAGAGAGGGTGTTTTTGAGACGTCTCAAAAGCACCTGCTCCTCCGTCTGGAGCGGGAACCGAAAGAGCGTCGTGTAGAGAGGGTGTTTTTGAGACGTCTCAAAGCACCTGCTCCTCCGTCTGGAGCGGGAACCGAAACAGCGTCGTGTAGAGAGGGTGTTTTTGAGACGTCTCAAAAGCACCTGCTCCTCCGTCTGGAGCGGGAACCGAAACAGCGTCGTGTAGAGAGGGTGTTTTTGAGACGTCTCAAAAGCACCTGCTCCTCCGTCTGGAGCAGGAACCAAAAGAGCGTCGTGTAGAGAGGGTGTTTTTGAGACGTCTCAAAAGCACCTGCTCCTCCGTCTGGAGCGGGAACCGAAACAGCGTCGTGTAGAAAGGGTGTTTTTGAGACGTCTCAAAAGCACCTGCTCCTCCGTCTGGAGCGGGAACCGAAAGAGCGTCGTGTAGAGAGGGTGTTTTTGAGACGTCTCAAAAGCACCTGCTCCTCCGTCTGGAGCGGGAACCGAAACAGCGTCGTGTAGAGAGGGTGTTTTTGAGACGTCTCAAAAGCACCTGCTCCTCCGTCTGGAGCGGGAACCGAAAGAGCGTCGTGTAGAGAGGGTGTTTTTGAGACGTCTCAAAGCACCTGCTCCTCCGTCTGGAGCGGGAACCGAAACAGCGTCGTGTAGAGAGGGTGTTTTTGAGACGTCTCAAAAGCACCTGCTCCTCCGTCTGGAGCGGGAACCGAAACAGCGTCGTGTAGAGAGGGTGTTTTTGAGACGTCTCAAAAGCACCTGCTCCTCCGTCTGGAGCAGGAACCAAAAGAGCGTCGTGTAGAGAGGGTGCTTTTGAGACGTCTCAAAAGCACCTGCTCCTCCGTCTGGAGAGGGAACCGAAACAGTGTCGTGTAGAGAGGGTGTTTTTGAGACGTCTCAAAAGCACCTTTAATACTATTTATATAATAAAAAGTATAAGCGCGCCATTTCTTGACCCTTCGGTTATCAAGCAAGCGCGCCACCGAACAAGCTCGTTACACGACTTCGGGGTTCAAGCAAACCCAAGCTACTTCGGTTGCAAAGCCAAGCTGATTCGGTTGCAAAGCTAAGCAGTTTCAGTTGCGAAGCCAAGCTAAGCAGCTTCGGCTACCAAACAAAGCTAAGCAATGCCGCTTCAGCTACAATGCAACCCCTTTTACCATGAGACACATCCAGAGCTCCTTCTTTAAAGTAGCGAACGCTAATGCGTCCGCGTTTATGTCCGTCAAACCAACGAATCTGTATTGCGAAACAAAGAATACACTTAAACACAAGAGAGAGGATTAGGTCGGGCGGGAACCGAAACAACGTCGTGTAGAGAGGGTGCTTTTGAGACGTCTCAAAAGCACCTGCTCCTTCGTCTGGAGCGGGAACCGAAAGAGCGTCGTGTAGAGAGAGTGTTTTTGAGACGTCTCAAAAGCACCTGCTCCTCGGTCTGGAGCGGGAACCAAAACAGCGTCGTGTAGAGAGGGTGTTTTTGAGACGTCTCAAAAGCACCTGCTCCTCCGTCTGGAGCGGGAACCGAAACAGCGTCGTGTAGAGAGGGTGTTTTTGAGACGTCTCAAAAGCACCTGCTCCTCCGTCTGGAGCGGGAACCGAAACAACGTCGTGTAGAGAGGGTGTTTTTGAGACGTCTCAAATGCACCTGCTCCTCCGTCTGGAGCGGGAACCGAAACAGCGTCGTGTAGAGAGGGTGTTTTTGAGACGTCTCAAAAGCACCTGCTCCTCCGTCTGGAGCGGGAACCGAAACAGCGTCGTGTAGAGAGGGTGTTTTTGAGACGTCTCAAAAGCACCTGCTCCTCCGTCTGGAGCGGGAACCGAAACAGCGTCGTTTAGAGAGGGTGTTTTTGAGACGTCTCAAAAGCACCTGCTCCTCCGTCTGGAGCGGGAACCGAAACAGCGTCGTGTAGAAAGGGTGTTTTTGAGACGTCTCAAAAGCACCTGCTCCTCCGTCTGGAGCGGGAACCGAAACAGCGTCGTGTAGAGAGGGTGTTTTTGAGACGTCTCAAAAGCACCTGCTCCTCCGTCTGGAGCGGGAACCGAAACAGCGTCGTGCAGTGAGGGTGTTTTTGAGACGTCTCAAAAGCACATGCTCCTTCGTCTGGAGCGGGAACCGAAACAGCGTCGTGTAGAGAGGGTGTTTTTTAGACGTCTCAAAAGCACCTGCTCCTCCGTCTGGAGCGGGAACCAAAACAGCGTCGTGTAGAGAGGGTGTTTTTGAGACGTCTCAAAAGCACCTGCTCCTCCGTCTGGAGCGGGAACCGAAACAGCGTCCCTGCAAGCAAACGGCCTCTGCATGTTGCACCCAAACGTCATCTTCCTATCCAGCAGAGCAAAGAATTGCCACTAGTCACAACACACACACACGCACGCACGCACGCACGCACGCACGCACGCACACGCACACGCACACGCACGCACGCACGCACGCACACGCACGCACGCACGCACGCACACACACACACACACACACACACGCACGCACGCACACACACACACACACACACACATACACACACACACACACACACACACACACACACACACACACACTGACCTCAAACTCCCTCAACAGAGCAGCCATGTCAGCTGCATTGTACGCCTGCCGTGATAGCTTGCTCTTCCCTGCCTGCTCCTCCGTCCGCAGCGGAAACCGGAATAGTGTCCCTGCAAACGGCCTCTGCATGTCGCACCCAAACGCACAGTACGGGGAGAACTGATCCCGCTGCGCTGCCATCGCCGCTCGGGCAGCAACGAAATCTATTCTCTTGCCCGGATTGGCTGCGGAGACGCGGGGCAGGTAGGCGCAGTGCGGGTCGAAGAAAGTGATGAACTGACGGCTGACGAAGGAGGGGAGGTCCGTGAGATGATAGACTGAGTTGAATCCGATGCTGTGGGGGGGAAGGGATGAGGGGGGGGAGGGGGGTGAAGAGGAAGGGGGAAAAATGGGGAGTGGGAGGAGGGAGGAAGGGAAGGTGACAAACTAACGGCTGACGAAGGAAGGGAGGTCCGTGAGATGGTAGACTGAGTTGAATCCGATGCTGAGAGCGGGGGGGTGTGGGCGGGAGAAAAAGGGGGGGGAAGATGGTGGGGAGGAAGGGGGAACAACGGGGAGGGGGAGGAGGGAGGGAGGGAAGAAGGTGACGAACTGACGGCTGACGAAGGAGGGGAGGTCCGTGAGATGATAGACTGAGTTAAATCCGATGCTGTGGGGGGGAAGTGAAGGGGGGAGCGCGGGGATGGGGGAGGAGGGAATTAATGCAGGAAGTGGCAGGGGAAGTGGGGGGGGTGGAAGAAGGGACGGCGGGGGGAGGATGGAAGAAAGGACGGAGGCTGGAGAAGGGGTGGAGAGGCGTAGGAGGGACCGGACAGGACGGGGTTTTGGGGGGGTGAGAGGGGGGAGGGGAGGAAGGGAGAGTGTGAAAAGAAGAAGAAAGAGGAGTGACAGGGAGAGAAGAGGAGAGTCACAACGGGAGGTACGTAAGATGGTACACGCTAACAGGTTACATAAAAGGGCTAAAATAGAAGTGCAATGGGAATGAAATGGGGAGAGAAAACAGCAGCAGCATCATTGTTCACCAGCAGCACATATGTCACCCATAACGTCCCACTATTCCTGATCATTCACACTTTCTTCCATCCACCCTTGAAACACAGGTTATGGAAAACCACCCACCCAAATCCGCCAGTCTTCCAGGACTATTTTGCACTTGCCGCTGTCCCCCACCCGTGAGATGCTCGCAAAGTCCACATCGAGGAAGCCAGCATCGTTGCGCACGAGCAGCAGTGCATGTGCGCATGTGTCATGCCTCACTTGATTTCACTCACCCGAATCGGCGGGTCTTCCAGGACTGTTTGCGCTTGCCACTGTCTCCCATGCGTGATATGCTCGCAAAATCCTCATCTGAGAAGACGGCACCGTTGCGCATGAGCAGCAGTGCATGTGCGCACATGTGACACCTCACTTGATTGTGAACCCACCCACCCGAATCGGCCGGTCTTCCAGGACTGCTTGCGCTTGCCACTGTCCCCCACCCGTGAGATGCTCGCAAAGTCTTCATCTGAAAACACAGCGTCGTTGTGCACGAGCAGAGCAGGGCCTTGGAACTGGGCAAGAGGCGCGTAGGCGAGCGATGCCAATCCGTGTGTGCGATGGTCCAGACAGAAGGACACCTGAGGGATTGGGATTGGGTGAAGAGTACAGGGCAGAGAAGGCATCATCATGCATCTGGTCCGTCAACGCCATCAGGCATCAACGCCATCAGGCATCAACGCCATCATGCATCAACGCCATCAGGCATCAACGCCATCAGGCATCTGATCCATCAGGCATCTGGTCCGTCCACGTTATCAAGCAGCTGGCCACGTCCGTGAACGTCATCGGGCATCCGGTCAAGTCCGTCAATGCCATCAGGCATCTGGTCAAGTCCGTCAACGTCATCAGGCATCTGGTCAAGTCCGTCAACGCCATCAGGCATCTGGTCCGTCCACGTTATCAAGCAGCTGGCCACGTCCTTGAACGTCATCAGGCATCCGGTCAAGTCCGTCAGCGCCATCAGGCATCTGGTCAAGTCCGTCAGCGCCATCAGGCATCTGGTCAAGTCCGTCAACGCCATCAGGCATCTGGTCGAGTCCGTCGTTATCAGGCATCTAGTCAGGCATCTGGCCACGTCCGTGAACGTCATCAGGCATCTGGTCAAGTCCATCCGTGAATCTCTTTAAGCATCTAATCGAACCCATCAACATAACACCTCAGAATTGTTCTGGCGTCGATGAAATCATAACGAACCTTGGAAGCGCCAGCGTCGTCGGCGTTCTGAATCAGCTCCTGGAGAATCGTGGTTCCCTCGAGATTGAATCAGGAATCAACCATCTGGCTTTTCCAACGAAAAACTACTCAGTTTCCAACAAACCTTAGAAGCGCCAGCGTCGTCGGCGTTCTGAATCAGCTCCTTGAGAATCGTGGTACCCTCGGGGTAATTCGCGAGCACTTCGCGAATCCGCTGCGTCAAATCCACGTGCTGCCCGAAATCTTCCGCCTCCACAAACCCCATGCTGACGTCACCTCTCCCTGAATCCATGGCGTCTTATCTCTGACCGGACGGCTCGCTGACTCTCCTCACCTCTCTGACCCTCCTCTCTCAGCCTTTCAAGCGAATCACCAGCACCTAAGTCCTATCTTCCTAACTCACAACCTACAACCCGTCTTGCAGAGGTAATTCGAGCCATTGAACAATTCCTGAGGCACCTGGAGAAGAATTCCCGTGACACGGAACCTAGTACTTGTAAATCCTCCACGGCAGCACTTCAAGTCCTTCTCACGATCAGAAGCCTGCTAGCCAGAAAATCCTCTGCAGCGACTACTAGGATGCACGAGCATGACTCGTTTTTTTCTTTACTTCTAGAACCTAATTTCTCGCGAGACGTTTCAGAACCACACAACTATGACCAGCCCTTATAAACTACGCCAATCAGATTCCAGCGTATGAAGAACCGCTGAACCACTAAGCCAGTCTGCTCCGGGGAAACAAACTGGCTGTCGCTCTAGGCCAGTCTGTTCCCTGAAATCCCAGAATGCTGCTTCTAAGCTTCAGTGCCCCTAGCAATAATACCTATGGGAGTCTATTTTCTGAACCGACTCAACAATGGATGGAATCACTAAGGGCGCGTGTCTTTTGGTGTAGAGGTTCGAAAATAAGGTCGACCTTACGCTGGTAACCCTATAGGTGAATTTCGTACACTAAACTTCGCACGCATCGTGTGTGCTCCCTTGTCAATGGGTGTGAAGTTGGAAAACAAACTTGGGTCGACCTCACGTTCAAACTTCGAAGAGCACGTAAGGCCAACCGTGTTTCCACACAACCATGAACCTCGAGAATGTGAAATCCGCGACGCTCGCAAATCACATCTCGCGCACAAGCGACTCCAATCACACGTGTCGCGCTGTCAAGGCGTGAGAACCGGGTAACCTACATTGGTTGAGCGCGGCTCGAATGTGAGTGTAGAAAGTCGACCCTAAATGTCGAACTTTTGTGTGCCATGTGATGTTTGTGAAAGTTGGAAACGCGGCTCGAGCCCAAAAGTTGAGATACTCGAGTACAGGTCGACCTAGGTCCAAACCTAAAAAGTCGACTTAAAATCGTGAAATTTTGGCCAAAAACCAAAAGACACGCGCCCTAACATGATCCCACACCAGACTCCACTGGCAGCCGCAGCATCTAGGGATTATTGGAGGAAGTGGCGCAAACACATCATGAATTTGATGGGATGATATACCTCAGCGGACGAAAAATGCCGCCCAATTTCGCGGTTCAAAAGGGACAAGGCCCCCCCTCGGGATTGACGACCTCCCGACGACCTCCGAGCTCCCAGACGGGCCCAAATGGCGTCCCAGGGGCCTCGGGAGCCCTCGGGATTGTCGACAATCCGACGACACCCGTTTGCGCTGGGAGATTCCTGAGAAGGAAATCTCAGCGGACAAAATTCGCCACGTCGAGCCGCGGATGCCTCCACGCGGACCAATAGGGAGGTGCGAGACCCGCCCCACCGATTACAAGGCTGCCACGACGTGGGCGTCGTGGCCACGCGTCGCTCTAGCGGTGCAAACCCACGCGGCGCAAATCGGACCGTCCACATCTTCACTGTCTTGTGGCATCGCGGGTTGCCAGGGAAGTCGGTGTCGACCAGATCATCCCAAGGCACACAAACCCGGCCACACGGCACGTTCTCTGCCAAGCGCGCCGAGTGGAAGTCGGCGCCGATCATAGGCCCCCCACGGCATGGTTGCCACGCCGTGCTTGAGTCATCCCGGGCCTCCGGGAGATCCATGTCTGCTTGCCTTAATTTCTGCACTGGGGCGCCAATGGCGGTCGCAAGCCGCGTAACGCACGCCCATTCCGACGTGGAATGGCACTGGCTTACGCCCCTTCCGTGCAGCGCGGCGCCCAGCTAGCCATGCCTGGCACGTGCCACGTCGGACAGTGCGCCGCCTTTACGAGAACACATGCACGGCGGCGGATGCATTGGGGTGTGCGTGACGCGCGGCAGCATCGTAGTCGCTCAGGACCATACCCGTCCGTTGCCCCGCGAGCCTGCTCATTCGCTTGTCCGTTCCTGCGTTCCTTCCTGCTCTCTCGTTCCCTTAGAATTTTCAGCTGCCAGTCTGTCATCGCGCCTGTAGGTTGCTCGACAGCCGATTGTTCGTCCAAGTCGGCACAGGTTCCACGTCGCGAGTCGACGTAGCAAGTCGGCGACGCATGGCCAGAGGTCGCCCGAGGGCCCAACAGCCGCAACCCATCCCACCCCCCGCCGACTCGGTAGACGCCGACATCAAGGCGCAGCTGGAACAGCTTGAACTCGAAGCCGAGTTAGACGCGCTTGAGCGAGAATTCGAAGAAGACGAAGACCGCCTGACGCTTCGCGCGTTCGCCGCACCCGTCACACAGTACCGTCTCTGGTTTACCACCCCCCGCGATCTCGAGGTCGACGCCGAGATAGACGTTATTGAGGGACATCTCGAGGACGACCGCCGCGCAACTGTTCGGGCGTACACCGCACCCGTGACTCAGTACCGGCAGTGGTTTAACAACCTCCCCAACGCACACGGACGACGGTAGAGCAGCAGACGTGTACCGACATGGCCGACGTCGACATGTCCGACGCTAGGCCATCCACCGACCAGGGTCCGACGACCACCGACCGCAGTCCGACATCCACCGACCACAGTCCGACACCTACCGACGAAGACAACCTGCAGTTACTCTACGATCTGGACAAGCTGACGCAGATCCCAGAAGGGGTGTTCACCACGGACGTTCCGCCACCGCCGATAGGGAAGTTCAACAAGAAGAAAAAACAGACTCCTACGCAAAATGGTCGGCCAGGTACCTCGTCGGCACCGGCCGCCCCTGGAAACCAGGTCGATGACGAGGACGCGGAGGAGGAGGGGGGGGAGGAGGAGGAGGAGGAGGAGGAGGAGGAGGAGGAGGAGGAGGAGGAGGAGGAGGAGGAGGAGGAGGAGGAAAGCGATGACGAAAACGACGACCGTCCACCTCGTAGCTCTAATCCGCGCACCTTGGACGAACGACTCAGGCGGGAACTGCAATTCATCGACATACTGCTCGACCAGGACGAGGACGAGGACCAGGAGAACTTGGCGGTGCCGCGCGAACAGTGGAGAGCGGCAGACTTCGTCGAGGAGGACATGGTTTACGCGTGCGTAGACGTGCTCGTCATGGACGCTCTTCGCCACCTGCAAACCGTGGAGAGGAACAGCACGCTGAGGCAGTACACCTCGTGGATCTATCACTACAAGAGGTGGGCGGCGAAGATGTTGAAGCAAATTCGCAACAAGCTTCCGCAGGAGTACAGGCTTAAGCACGTCGACGAGATAGGGCACTACATCCGGGAGAACAAGAAGAAAAACTGGGACCAAGAGGCCGATGTCCCCCGGTCTCACGTGTGGCTGCACGGCCCTAGGGTCACCAAGGACCGGCTTCGCGCATACGTGAAGTACATGATTCGGGAGTTGAACCTCGATGCCGAGTCCGGCAAGGGGGCCGACAACGCCACAGGAACACAGCCGGTGCAGTCGACAACGGTACACACGCTCCTCGGGCGCATAAAGGCATGCCAGATGGCGGCGAGAGTGGAGGCGACGCTCTTCCGGGAGACGGAACTGAGCATCATGAGGGAGATATCGGTGGTCAGGTCGGAGGTGCGGTACATGATCCGCACCAAGAACGAGCGGGACATCAAGTGAGTTTATGTTTTAACCTACGTCGACCACTCTCCTGCTGTCATGATCTTTGTCGACGCCGCCCTAAATACCCCTTGCCCATGGCATTGTTGGCAGGAACTGTCAGAATCACTAGGCAAGAATGATGAACTAGCAGAAGTTTGGGTACAAATATGAAACCCTAGTTGGGGTTGTACCCCATATTGGCTACCCCACTACAGCCTACAAGCATAATACAGTTTAACACACCCCCATAGGCAAAGTGGGGGAGAACAAAGGGTCACAAGACCAGTCCAGCAAAGCAAAGCAAAGCCCAGGGTGGATCACAACGTCACCACACTCCGAGCACAAGTAAAGGCCACAAGGCCAGTTCACATGCAGTGCTAGATATAGTACAAGACAAGCAACACAGTGATCAAAACCTAGCAAGCAAGCAACAAGATATATATAAAGTACAGTACAAAGAATGTCAAGCAGTGAGCAAGTGAGGAAACGTGGACACAAGGCCTAAGGAAGTACAGTGCCGCTGATGATCACTAGGCGGGAGCGCCTTGGTGAAGATATCAGCAGTGTTGGCCTTCGAGTCCACGTACACAAGCCGAAGCTGACCGCGCTGCTGAAGCTCTCGAGCAAGAAAGTAGCGAAGAGCAATGTGCTTCGTCCTGTGCTCCAGTCTGTGCTCCTGACACAAGGCAAGAGCCGCCTTGTTGTCACTGTACAGAACTGGAGGAGAACTAGGCCGCTCTCCCAAGTCAGTCAGCAGGTAGGTGAGCCAGCGTAACTCCTGTGCAGCCATGGCTGTGGCGTAGATCTCAGCCTCACAACTAGAGCCGAGAACAGAGGAAGAGCGGGTGGACCGCCACGAGACAGAACCAGAGCCAAGGCTGAAGGTGTAACCCTGTGACGACCGCTGCGTAGCCAGGTCGTCCACCCAAGAGGCGTCCGAGTGACCAGTGAGGACAACTCTGTCGCGTCCTCCAAGCACCAGCCCCATGCCTGATGTACTGCACAGGTAACGCAGCACCCTCTTAGCAGCCTCCCAGTGCTCTCGCCTGTGTCTCCCAGGCGCAACGTAACGAGCAAGGATGCTAAGAGGGTACGCGAGGTCAGGTCGCGTGCAAGTCATCAGGTACATGAGGCAGCCTACAAGCTCTGGGTACGGGCCACTCGGCTCTACGGACTCGTCCGAAGGTGGAGCTGAGAGCGAGTGGCTGGTAGCCAGAGGTGTGGCCTGTGGTGAGGAGAACTGGAAGCCGAAGCGCTGAAGGACCTGCTGCACCATGTGTGACTGAGTCAGGGTGATGGTGCGGCGAGCTCTGTCCCGGGTGATCTGCAAGCCAAGGTAGCTACGCAGTTCACCCAGGTCAGTGCAGGTGTGTCTCTTCTGCAGCTCCGACTTCACACGAGCGAGTGCCTCAGTGTCAGCAGTAGCAAAGACTAAGTCGTCGACGTACACGAGAATGTAGAACGGCAGCAGCGACGTGTCTGTGCGCAGAAACAGCGACGGGTCAGCAGTAGACGGCGCGAACCCAAGAGCCGCAAGTGTAGTCCTCAGTGTGTCGTGCCACTCACGTGGCGCCTGGCGGAGACCGTAGACTGGCCGGCGGAGACTCCACTGGGTACCAGGGGGAAACGACCCAGTAAAGCCAGGTGGGCGGCGCAGCCAGATCTCCTCGTGCAGGCTGCCCTGCAGGAACGCTGTGCTGAAGTCAAGAGAGTGAAGCTCGTAGTCACGGTGAGCAGCAACGTGCAGCAGAACCCGAAGAGTGGTCATCTTCGGGGTGGGGGAGAAGGTCTGGAAGAAGTCGACCCCCTGACGCTGACTGAAGCCTCTAGCAACGTAACGAGCCTTGAAGACAGGCGGAGAACCTGGCGGCCGCTTCACCCTGAAAATCCACATGCCATCGACGATGTTCGCCCCAGGAGGGGGAACCTCGTCGACGTAGGTGCCTGTGGACTTCCAGGATGCCATCTCTGCGTCCATGGCTGTCTGCCACTGAGAGGAGTAGGGACCCGAGATCGCCTCTGCGTAAGAGCGCGGAGTGGGGATGTCTAGTGCATCCGGGTCTCCCTCAGGGGCAAGCAACCAGGCCACGAGATGAGGTACAGCAGCCGCAAGAGAGTCAAAGTCCTCCTGCCTGTCCTCAAGGACGTCCGTGCCGAGAGCACACTCACCCCCGACGGACGGAGGACAGACAGACGCAGACTCTGACTCAGCGACAAGGCTAGCAGCGTAGTCTAGACGACAGACAGCAGCAAAGTCAACCAACTCAGCGACCAGAGCAGACGCAGCCGAGGACTCAAAGGTGGGGTCAGTGACAACAGTAGCAAGGAGACGCGTGACTGTAGGGTGCTCAGCGCGATACCGGTCAGACTCAGGGTCCGGAACGGCAGGCAAAGAGGACGCAGGAGGAGACGGTAGAGGGACACGCCGAGGAGCAGTAGAGGGACGCAGAGTCATGTAGTGAGTGCTTGGGACAGGAGGAGGACGCTCACGACGGACACGACTACCAGTGCGAGCAGGACGAACAGGCGACGCAGGACGAGACTCAGGCTCACGACGCTCTGTAAGACCTCCTGTGGGACCAGTATAAGGAGAGGGAGCAGGGAGAGGCGAGGCAGGCGGTAACTGTGACTGCGGCTGGACAGGCGGAGGACACTCTACGGAGGGAGGAGGACAAGGAGGAGGAGCCTGCCCAAGAACCTGCTGAAGGAGCGGTACGAAGTACGGTCGCGGCCGCGTAGCGTCTCCAGAAGCAGAAGGGACTCCAGCGGCCGGGTCCTCAGCACCAGTAGGAGCTCCAGCGTCCGGGTCCACAGCACCAGCAGCAGCTCCACCGGCCGGGTCCCCAGCTCCAGCAGCAGCTCCACCGTCCGACTCCTCAGCACCAGCAGCAGCTCCACCAGGTGGGTCCGCAGCACCAGCAGCAGCAGCACCCCCAGAGTCGGCAGCTCCAACTCCGCTAGCACCGCCAGCGCCAGAGTCCCCAGCTCCAGCAGCTCCAGTCGCAGTGCTCCCAGAACAGCCAGTCCCGGCAGCTCCAGTACCCCCAGTACGAGCACCCCCAGGACGAGCAGCTCCAGCACCCCCAACTCCAGCCGAGCCACTAGGACGGCGAAAGCGTCGGACGTACCAGTCACGAAGCTGCTGCGGTGTGAGAGACTGCTCAGCACCCCGAACCGGAGCACCCCCAGACGCAGTAACCCGAGGCTCCGTAGGCTCAGTAGCAGCACCCCCAGGCTCAGTACCCGCAGGCTCAGTACCCGCAGGCTCAGCACCCCCAGTCGCAGCACCCCCAGGCGGTAAAATCTCAGGCACCGTACCCTCAGCTCCAGCACCCTCAGTCCCAGCACCTGCAGCCCCAGCACCCCCAGGCCCAGCACCCCCAGGCTCAGCACCCCCAGGCTCAGCACTCCCAGCAGCACCACCCGCAGCAGCACCTGAGTCACCTGTGACCTCGACAGGCTCAGCGACGGGAGGAGGGTCTACCTGAGAGACACCTGAAGGAGCAGGACCCTGAGGGGGAAGGGGGTCTACCGGAGGAGGACCAGGAGCAAGGAAAAGCGGCGGGGGAGGGAGGGGGGCAGTGCGGTAGGGGAAGAGACGGTAAAAAGGGACCGACTCGTCAAAGGTGACATCCTGAGAGGCGAAGACCCGGCGCGAGGTGGGGTGGTAAAACTGCCAGCCAGGCGCGTCAGGGACAAAGCCAAGGAAGACACAGGGAAGCGTGCGGGAGGAGAGCTTGTCCGCGGACGTATCGCGGACAAGGGCACGAGCACCCCACACCCGGAAGCGCGACGCATCGCCAACCTCCCCCGTCCAACGCAGTGTGGGCGAGGTCTCCGGCAAGGAGACACGGGGCCAGAGGTTGAGCTGATGCGCGGCGTACCGGACAGCAAACGGCCACAGAAAATGGGGAGCCGCCGCGTGGACCAAGGAGGTACGAGCGACCTCCATGACCAGGCCAATGCGGCGCTCAGCAACCCCATTCTGCTGTGGGGAGTCCGGAAGCGTGAAGGTCTGCTCGATGCCCTCCGCCTGACAGAAGGTCCTCAAGAGATCGGAGGAAAACTCACCACCTCTGTCAGAGTGCAGACGCAGGACAGGAAGATCCGTCCGGAAACGGCGGCGGAGCTGGAGACGAACCGTGCGGATCCAAGGGATCAGAACAGCAGGGACCTCACCCTTGGTGCGCAAGGGGAAGACCGTGGTGTAACGCGAGTAGTCGTCGACAACCAGCAAAAAGTACCGCTCACCGCCCTGACCACGAACGCGGGCTGGGCCCCACACGTCCAGGTGGAGGGTCTCCAGAGGAGCCTCTGTCGGGGGGAACGAGGAGGAGTGAGGGGCGGCGCGCTGCCGCCCCTCGACGCAAGGAAGGCAAGGCGGCGCAGGCGAGGCAGGGAGGGGAGGGAGGGACCTGGGAAGACCGGACACAAGGAGGCGACGGTGCATGCCACGAAGGCGTGGCAAGGAGGGGTGACCCAGGCGGTGGTGCCAGAGAAGAGTCTGGTGCGACAGGGAACGACACTCACAGGCGTGGGCCACCAGACCTGACGCAGACACCTGACCGACAGCAGCTACCTGGGGAGACGCAGTGGTCAGTGTGTAGAGACTCGACCCCGGCCGACGGGTGAACGTAGCCAGGTGACGGCCGGTCCTGGAGCACGTGCAGATCGCCACACGCTGTCCGCCAGGGGTAAAGGTGTCAACCCACTGATCCTGGAGGACAGCGTTGCTCACCAGGTTCGTCGAGAACGAGGGGAGGTGGAAACCCGACAACGAGCCAGACGGAACCGCCGGACAAGGGAGGACAGTGGTGGACTGGGCAAGGACTGGGCCCCCAGAGGGGTCAGCCAAGGAGACTGGGACCGGTGCAGGAAGCGGTGTGAGCTCAGTACTGTCACGGAAGAAGCAACGGGAAGCACCTGAGTCAAGGGTGAAGGTGTGACAGGCCTCAGCCGGTGCGGTACCTGAGAGAGGTGTCTCTGTGGGTGCTGTACCTGAGAGAGCAGACTCGAAA